TATTAATGTATCTCTTTTTCTCTATAAAGGTTTTCTTCTTTTCACATTTTGTCATATATAATTTGGGTATTGGCTTCTTGTTAGATGTGTGTTTGTATCCATCTTCTAATAATGGAATCAATTCTTTATTGTGCGTACTTCTCATGGCAGCCGATTTATTTTTCAGCTATTGTTACTGCTTATGGGGTTTTTGCTGCTTGTTTTTGTTGTTTGATTTTTGCTGCTTCTCTCTGTTTTAAAGTGCATTGTACCGTGCTTTTCGATATTTGTCCTCTTGCATTTGTATTCTACTGATTTTCCACATTTTTAATTGTTTGGTTTTCGTTCTGTTTGGCTTTAATATGTATGAAGCTTGCTTCAATATTTTGTAAGATGAATTCTGTAGAAGAGAATCCTTGAGAAGTTTGATTCTGCCGTCCATGAGTCCATGAGTCCATGAGTCCTTGTCTTCCTTAATAGACGAAGTTTTAACTATACTCCGGAGATTATAATGACTACTAAATGGCCTAAGGCTCCTTATACTTGTCACCAAAGTCGTAGTTCTATCTCTGAGGTTTCCACAACGTCTGGGATTTATCCTCAACCTGTTGGGGCAGTCAATACAAAATCATTTAAACCAAAACTTTTCCTTAATATCCCATTTCTCGATTCACTTATCCACTCCCAAATTTATATAAGCCTCTGTCTGGGATTTTTTAATTTCTCTTATTCAAATGTTTTGAGTTATAACTTGTCTCATTTTTAAAATTATTTTTGTGTTCTAGAAATATTTTTATTTCATCTTATTTATCTCTCCCTCATTTTGATTTAAGATCTCATTGGGTGCACTGCAAAAAGGTAATTGGGTTCTAAGTTTCACTTTTAAGGAACGGGAATATGGTCATATAATTTGAAGGATGATTTAGATTCTAGTTTAGTAAGTTTGCTCTGATTTCATTTTAAAAATTTGCACGTTAATTTGGAAATTAGTGCATGTGTTTTGTCCCAATTCATTTTAAGAAGTCTATGGTGCACTGTATAGTGCTGGTGATTTATTTTGGTATAATTTTAATGCTCATCATAATCTAGATTAGAATTGAGTTTCTCAAGTGTTTTATATGCATTGAATTGAATTTTTCAAAAGGTATACCACTTTTCTTCCTATAAAAAAAGCCAAGTAGTCAGTCTGGTTTTCCAAAAAGTCAAAAATTGGTTCAGTTGTCACTTAAAAACTATTATAGCATTAAACATTATAGATTAGATTTTAAAACAGAAAATAGGATCATTGCATGTGTAACTAATTGATTAGTTACCCATGTACTGATTCACAGTTAATGCGTTGGGATTATTTCCGCTATGTTGCACATGCCTCTTTTGTATGTGTATTTCGTTCACGGGATAATTTGACTTGACATTTGCTCTCTGGCTTCCTTTAGCACACTCTTTTTAATCCTCATGCACGATTTAATTCTAAAATGTCATTGATATATTTCTCTGAAGTTTGACATTTTAAAACAAAACACAAAGAGACAATACTTTAACACACATGCAATGCCAAGCATACGAGTTCAATCCTTTATTATCACATTCTTATCCAAACTCAAGTTGGTTGTTCAATTTTGCGTCATGATTTTCTTGTCCCAATGGGCTTTAGCCCATGCTCAGCCTTATGGGTTGTATTATGTTCTAATCTGAATGTAAACATGTCAAATATTAATTGTCTCATATGTTTTGTATTATGTTACACCCAACACAGTTGGTCATACCTAATCATTCAAAGTCTTTTTCTTTCTCCGCGAGTCATCTTCCTCCCTGCACCACCTCTGGGTTTTGGGTTTAGGGTAAGCTCTAAAACTTAATTATAATGTATCTATGTTAGTTTCTCAGTCTCTCTCATGGTCTCACCCTCTATCTCTGTATATCATTCATTCTTGTGTATGTGTGTAGCTAAGCAAGCCCTACAACCCACTGCATTTTTGTTTTCTCAAAATTTGTTGGGTTTTGATTTTTTTGTTTTTGTTTCAGTTTCTCTTTTTTTATTATGTCAAAACCATGACCTTGCTCAGTATGGCCAGTTATATTGGACTAATACATTGATTTGGCTTTCGAATTTTTCGTGAACTCAGGGATTTTCTCTTAATTGAAATTTTTTACTCTGTAATTATGATTTTGAGAGTTAGGACTTTCTGCTTCAATTTTGAGTTCTGTTTGAGCATTGCAATTGGGTTGATTTGCGCTTGCTGATGTACACCACTGTAACCAGTTTTGTTTCTGTTTGCAATTTAGGTGTGTCATTGGTGGTTTGTTCTTTCTATGGTGTCATAATTATGGGGTTTTGGATTTCTTTTAAAGTTCCATTTAGCAAACCAGAAGCACATCCCAATCCACTGCTGATACTAAATAGTATTTGAGCCTTTTGCTTAGATCTCTCAGAGTTCCATTAGTGTTGGCTTATTCTCAAACGACACAAGCTTTTTGAGTTTTGTTAGTAGTTGGACTTTAACATGGTATCAGAGCTTTTGGATTTCAGTTGTTTTCTAAGAATTAGTTGTATAGATGTTCTTGAATTAGTTCAGTTATCTTTTGTTTATTGTATCATGATCACAGTTAACTTGCAGTTATATTTTATTTTCTGAGAATAACAAGATCAACTTGTTGCAACATTGGGCAGGGCCAATCATTTATATGAAAATCTCCCCTTTTACGCTTATTTGAGTTCACTTGAGTTGTTATTTTAATGCATATTGTTCATAAAAGGGGAGAATTTCATGGTTACCATATGAGATAAGCTCTTATTGTATTTACTATGTCTTGTTATGCTGCCAGTCTTGGTTGGGTGATGATTCTGGAGCTATTTGTCTTTCTTGCAACTTCTGCATTTGTTTGTCAAACCAATGTAACTCAATTATTTCATTCTTTCAGTCAAAGAATATATATCATGCCTGATTAAATTTCTCCCAAATGATTATGAATTCATTTGTCTGAACTGTTCTGTTACTGTTCTCTGGTGAAGCCATGCTCCAGTGGTCCTCTGCATCTTGACAAATGTATAAATATTAATTAATGGTGCTTTGCCTAGGGAGTATCAGCAACACTAGAGGAGCAAGCGTGGACTCTGAAAACTGTGTCCTACAGGCCTCCTCAAGTCCTGGACAAAGATGAGACCTTTAGATGAGACTGAGACCACAGCAGTTTTCGAAAAGCTTTTCAAGTTCACAGGCAACAACCTCAAAAACATCGTCGAGAACCCTTCGCATGAAGGTCCAGACCCAGATTCAGGCCGGTACTGCTTCCGCCTCCACAAAAACAAGGTCTACTATGTTAGCGAATCACTAGTAAAGCGTGCTACAAATATATCTCGGACTCAGTTAGTGTCTCTTGGGACTTGTATTGGTAGGTTCACTCACGGTGGCAGTTTCCACTTAACTGTTCAGTGTTTGAGTTCATTAGCCTCAAATGCTAAACACAAGGTCTGGCTCAAACCTACCTCCGAGATGTCCTTCTTATACGGAAACCATGTTTTGAAAGGTGGTTTGGGGAGGATTACAGAAAATATTGTGCCCGGTGATGGGGTGGTTGTGTTTTCAATGTCAGATGTCCCGTTGGGTTTTGGGATTGCGGCCAAGTCTACCCAGGATTGTAGGAAGTTGGACCCCAATGGAATTGTGGTACTTCACCAGACAGATATTGGAGAGTACTTGAGGATGGAGGATGAGCTTTGAATAACTAGAGGAGGTTGGACGAGATTCAGGTGGCTTTGACAGATGTGGTGTCTTATTGGGTATGTGGGTTATAAAGTCCATCTGTCAGCTTTTGATCACTATGAGCTTAAGTCTTTTGGGCTGTGGATGGCTTTCTCGAATATTATTTCCATTGGTGCTTGGGAGTTTCTGCTATCAACTCTTTGATTATCAGGAACTTCTTCCATCTGGTATTTAGATGGTTTTGTTTACTTTACTTGTCGCAGTACGTGTGACGATTTTGGTTGTCTCAAGCGAACATATCATTTTGGTGTTGATTCTTGTTTATGTTCTAAATGTCATTAGCATAAATGTAACTGAACCAAATGGTTGTTAGCTGCGTACAGGGTATGGAAATAGATGTTAACCTCACTATGACTTGTAGAAGGATGTTAGCCGCGTACGTGTTTATATAGCTTGGCTTCAATGGGTAGCCAGCCATAAGCTTTGTTGGTGACCAAAGGCCCTTGTTATGTGGTGATTAGATTTATATTAGGTCACTTTGAGAAAATGTTGAGAATTCATATGTGCTTTTAAGTTGATCAATTGTTATGCTCGTGAATTATTGTTTCGAAAGAAGTTGCACATATAGGGTTTCGAAAGACTAGCTCAATCAAAAGTTGCACATACGATATTGGGAATCTCATTAAATGGATATATCATCCTTTTGTGCGTATGACCATCTTCAAATTTAAAATATTAAATCAATACACATCATTTTTGCAAGAGACTGATAGTTCAAGTGGTTAAGAACTGTTACCCTTATACCTGAGGTCTCGATTCCCCTCTCTCACAATATCGCTCGTGTCAAAACACATATCATCTTTAATAAATTTATTTATTTATTTTTATGAAATACTTAAACTTCTCTCTTGTAAGCAGGTAATAAAAATCATAATTTAGACATTTTATTTCCAATCCTTTTTATGTTGATCAAAGCATTAGATTTACATATTTTACCCAGCTCTTTCGTTTCATTCACTCATTAGATTTACATATGAAGCATAATTAGCCGACCATATTGGCAACATAGTGAATATGTAAGCCGACCATAGGCGGTCGTCAATTTTGTCTCTAATTCGAGGCTTTGGATGAATTTTTCAACTTAAACTACTATAAATAGACCCTATGCGTACCTCAATCTCATCATGCTATACCCACTGAGAGCTAATAATAAAAGGCTTGTTAAAACAGACAGATATATTATCAAAGTTTCCAATGGCATGGAATAAATTTGTCACCCTTATCACCATCCTTTTGGTTCTTCTTCCTACAATCGCCATGGCGAAAGAATTCGTCGTCGGAGATGACAGCGGCTGGAAAACTAATTTTGACTACGAAGCTTGGGCCAAAGACAAAGTATTTCGTGTTGGCGACACACTAGGTATGTACATTTGCAAATTGTATGCAGTTAATTGTATAGTTATATGAGAACCAAATTAACTTAATGCGACTGGTTTTACATTTTAATTACAGTGTTCAATTACAAGGCTCCTAATCACAATGTGTTCAAGGTGAACGGAACTGGGTTCAAGGAATGCATTAAGCCAACAGAAAACGAAGCACCACTTTCCACTGGAAATGACAAAATAGACCTAAAGATCTCTGGAAATAAATGGTACATTTGTTCTGTTAAGGATCATTGTGAGTTGGGCATGAAGCTCTTCATTACCGTCTCCGATGAGTCATCTGCTGTTCGTGGCATCACATTATCTGGTTCATATCAAGCTTTCATGGCCGTCATCATGGCAATCACGGCAATTGCAGCGTTATCCACATGATACAATCAATAATTAATTAAACACCCATATTTTATAGAGATATGCGTTACTTCGGTCCGCTTGCAAGTTCGATTTACATTAGAGTAATTTACAATATTACTTCGCAAAAACAAAAAAAGAACACCGTACATTTTATGGTTTCTGAATTTTACGTTCAATAACTAGAATTGCGTAGTGGGGCACTTGAAGTTTTTGTTCTACGACCGTTTTATCATGTGAGATGCATTTTTATTGATAGAATTTCAAAGACAATTAGGTCTGTTTGTTTGTTAGATTCACCATGTGTCTCTTCTAAGCGTATAATTGAAGTCTCCAATATTAAATGATTTAAGGAAAATAACAGTGAAGTACTTGAGTTTTTAGCTAAGGCTTCCTCAAATATACTACAGCGCTTGCAATTCGACGCTCTACTTTTGAAGCCTCTATCATTCGATAGTCCTTATACAAAATTGACGAATGAGAAACAAGTAAAGATATATATTATTTAGGTAAAATGCACGATAGCTAAATGTAAAGCAAGTATGCAAGCTACATCGATCTTGTTGGTTTTGCAAGCTATGGCTTTTAAGCAAGTTTGTGTTGAAACTTGTAGTTCCGCATTGATGAAAGATTATAAAACATTTCTAATCTTTATAACCCTAGGTCATCCAAGTAGATTAGTTTTGATTGGGCCACTTGGTGGCCCTAGTTTGCATTTGTGGGCTTGACCTTGGGTTGACTTGAAAGAATGATTAATATATATATATCTAGTGTAATTAATTAATTGACTAAAAATTTGAATTATTTTAAAATTCGAAATTCAAATTTAAAATTTATCAAAAATTTGCAAGAGATCAAAGTCTTGGTGCTAGAACTTTGATTTAATATAGTTGTATAACTACAAGCATTGAGTAGGGATGAAATTTTGTTTCAGTACATTGCAATTATGCAATCTTCTATCTGCAAGAACAGTTAGTATTTTATTTATTTACTTTATATATTATTGTTGTGTTTATTTAATTATTTGAATTAAATAATAGTAGAACTGATTGTTGTTTTGCCAACACATTTGTTTGGATCTAGGATTTGTTAGTTGTTTTTTTGGTGCAAGGTCTTGGGTGGTTGACAATGGTGCTCTCTATCTCGATCTAAGCAATGGAGTCGACATCAGTGGGTTTAGCATCAATTGTTATGCTGGTTTGTTTTCAGCTGTTGAAGTAGCCACCATAAAACACCATTGTTACTATGATATAGTTGTCATTTGGGGCCACATACACAAGGATTTGGCTCCAATTCAGATTTTGAAATTAGAAAAATAGAAGTCTTTTATTTATTTTTTTGGGCTGGGCTGGGCCTAGCCCGGTCAAGATTTCAAATGGCGAGGCCCAAACCTGCCTATTGGGGTGAGCTTGACGGGCCTCCGAGCCCTCTCTCTCTCTCTTTTATATTTAAAATTTTAAAATTTGAGTCTTTTATAACTTCTGATTCAATTTTAGTGATTTCTTTACAACATAGGTCGTTTTGGCATATAAAGCGACAAATGGCATACAAGACCATGCAAAACTGGCAACTAAAGCGATTGGGATGACAGTTTACTTCACCCAAGCAGGTATGCTTGAAGATGGTGGTGGTGAACCTTCATCCTCTCGCTTCTTCAGTGTTGGCACCCCCTCCTCAAAGTGGCAAGAGTCATAACTTGGATCTTCATAAACAATGACCCCAATATACCATTGAAATCGCAGGATTCCTCGGCTCTTCCATTAGTTTGAAAGTATTGATTTATAGCCACCAATATGTGTCTAAATAGTTTAATACAAGTTTGCTGATGTTGACTTGTTAAAATCATCATATTAATCTAATGGTTTGCATTCTTTTATATGTGTGTAGATGCACCGATGCTAAATATAGGCTCGGGATTCTCTCTTAGGCTATCAAAAAACCCAAAAGTCACGTTTCATATACTTCCATTTTAAGGCTCTAAATCTTAAAGCTTCCACTAATATATGATAAACTTATTTATTGTAGTGCCCTATGAAACTTTGGTCAAATCTCACTTTGTCCCCTGAAAGTACACAGAGTGCTCCTTGACCAAGGTTTGGTGGTTCACTTTTCCCCCCACTGTTAACTCTATTAAAATTGTTGACATAGCACAAATGGGACCTACTCTTTGCTGAAATGTGCACTACAAAAGTGCCACGTCAGAAAAAATAATATAATAAATTGTACTTTAGATGGGCCCACAAATTATATAGAAATAATACAATGAATTATTATAAATATGATAAATCTTTAAAAGAAATTTAAAAGTAAAAGAATATTTCTCCATCTTTCTCTCTTACCCCATCTATCTCTTTGAATTATACTAAAAAAATAAAGAAACAAAAACAAAAACAAAAACAAAAACAAAAAATCAAACCCCTAAAGAAACCAAGTATTGGACTAGCACATACCCAAAAAACCCAGAAATCAAATAAAAAAAAAGAAAAAAGAAAAAACAAATTACCCAATATAATCCTTCTCCTTCAATTAATATCAAAACCAGAAGAAAACAATATCTTGTTATTGAAATTCTGAAATTACATGTAAGATGACTAAGAATGCCTAGAAAGAGGTGAATAGGCCAATTTAAAATTATAATCGATAAATAAAAATAAACTTCGTTAGTGGGATTGATATGGCTTATCAATCTTGAAATGTGTTGAGCATAAAAATATATAAAGGAACACGCAGAGAATTATTTTACTTGGTAAAACTCCACCTATGGGGAAAATCCATTGGACTCCTCAGTCCAACACAAATCCACTATAGAACGATGATTATAAGAAGTACTCCCGCACTTATCCTACACACATTCTAGATAATGTTTACTGACTTCTTCGTAACTCAACTTCTGTCACGGGATGATCTTTGACACTCCTTATGTTGAACGCAAAACTAGTCACGATTGCTTCAAGCTCACCGGAGGAAAACCACCACCAAGGTCTTGGTGCCCTAAACTGTATGAGTCACCGAACAATGCAAATGAATGCAATACGAATGATTAAAGTGTTTGATAAATCACCAAGTAACCATGGAACACTTGATGATTTATCTTGAATAAATGCACAACAGCTTAGTAGGAATTTTAGATGCTCAGACCAAAAATATAGAAGTTGTATGTTCCAAAAGAGATGCACACAAAGATTTATACAAAACTCATTCTCAACTTTGCACGAGAAGTCCCACCCCCTCATCTCAATATCTTGCCCTTTATTAGACTTGATACTCTAGGAATCCTATATGATTTCATCAGCTTATGGCTTGCCCTCCAATCAATTATTTATCCAAGTAAACAATATATGTCAAGATGAAAACAATGAAACAAAATAGGATATTAATTAAAACATACTCTCCAAGTCCAAGATGATGAAAACATAATATTTTAACTTAAATCAAAATAGAGTCCAACTAGGAAAGTAATCTCAAGAGATAAAATCTAATCCTATTAAAAATAACTCCAACTAGGATTAACAAAAAGTGCTTGAGTGAAAATAACTCCAACTAGGAATCCTATAATGAATGCATGATTATGTCATGATTTACCTAAAATTAAGTTCCTATATCGATCAAGTCATACTTCCAAAATCCGGGATTGAAAGTGTTGAGCCAAAACTTCTAGTAAAAGATATTCACACACTAATTCTCCACCTATGCTAGAGTCTAGGAAATGCCAATACAATTTTCATACTAACAAATTCAACTTCCCATTTACAATTAATCAAGCCGAGCAAACCTAAAAAAGATTAAATCAAACAAACTCAACAAACTCTTCCCCTTCTTCTTCAATCACCTTTGGAAAACTCAAAGTAGTAGAGAGAATAGCAAAACCAGCCATGAAACGTATGATAAGATCCATAGAAACCAGCAGGTGATCCAAAAAACCCTATAAATCAGAACAATTGTATATAAAGAAAGACAAGGAAGGAATTAGGGAGTCATAAATAGATTGAAAAAAATTGCACCAAGGATACATGTGATATCTTCTGCGATTATATCGGTTGTAGCGCTCCACATTTATACTAAGCCATCTCCATCTCAGTTGAGCACCATTGGGAAATCCACCGCCTTGGATATGTGGTCGTGCCTTGGTCATGGCTGGAGGGGACCACTTGTGCCTTGGTCGGGTGTGTGGGAGCATATATTTCACTAGCCAATAAGAAGATGACACGTGAGAAAGGAATGTTACTTAGGTCAAACAAATTACCCTAATTAATTCCTATTTAATTAGGAAAATTATCTTTGATTTAATATAAGAATATCTCCCTAAATCAAGGAACCAATCTCCATTAAATCTCTTGGTGTAATTCCTATAATTTTTTTGGGGAAGAATAATCCTAACCATATAAGGATTATTCTCCCAAAACCCTAGCACACAAGGAGGCTATAAATACATAGCCACACAAGACATTTAAGGTAATCATAAACCTAATTCTTAAACCCCATGAAAATCACCCTCTCTCTCTCTCTCCTCACATAAGTGCCACCACACACGGCTTTGGTCATCCGGCTCTCCCCCTGAGAGAAAACTCCATCCATTTTAGGTATTGCAATATATTTTCTCAAAGATCCAATTGAACTAACTTAGGCATTGGGGGGCATTTGGCCAACACCCCCGGATGTGGTCTATTTACTCATATTTATTTTGCAAGAATCGAGGAAGAGAGAGAAGGAAGCTCGAATGGTAAAGAATCTACACGCGAATATTCTCCAATGAGAAATTTGCACAAACAGTGTGTCGTGGATGAGTGGTTGTTTGGGTGGGGAAAGGGTGGGGGAGGGGTCTAGTTCTGGTACAAACAAAAAAAAAAAAAAAAAAAAAAAAAAAAAAAGAGAGAGAGAAGAGAAGAAGAAATTTTGTAAATATATTTTTTCCTATTTGTTTTAAATTAGGTTTTTTTCACACTTGACACTTATATGGCATACATTTTAGCAAAAGGATGGGTCCCATTTGTGTTATGTATGTTTTCAAACGGGACGGGCCGGCCTAGCACGACACGAGCCCAACCCATTTAAATGAGGCACGGCACGGCACGAGCATGAATATTAATGGGCCGTGCTTGGCACGGCACGAAAACTTGAGCCGGGCCGGGATCAAAAAATGAGGTCCAATGGACCGGGCCGGCCCATGGCCCGACATGGGCCGGGCTTGGCCCAAGCACGCTTCAAGCACGGCACGAGCCCAAGCACGGCCCACTTAACATTTTTTTCTTTCTCAAAAGTCAAAATGCAATAATTTGACATCTAATGTCATTATTTATATGTTTTTTTTAATCATAAATATATATATTTGATGTCTTTCATTTTAGGGAAATTACTTGGGTTCTTAATTAATTAAACATATCAACTACAAATTAATTAAACAATATTGGACTTGATATCTAATCAGTACATATGACATATATGTTTCTCTTATAATCAAAGCAAGACATTATTTCACATATAAAATAATAAGTTGTTTAAAGATGAAAAGTTGAAGTGGACTTTGTAGAGTTTGACACTTTTTGCCCTCTGCCATTTTCATATTGTTTGGATGTTTGATTGATTAATGTTTTCAAATAGTTCATCATTTCTTGCCTCTAATTATATTTTTAATGTTTATAATTTGAATTATCTAGTGAAAAAAAAATGAAGTGAAAAAAATTCAAATTAAATGGATTGGTTCTTGGGCCCGAGTATGGCACGAGCACGAGCACGAGCACGGGCACGGCACGAGCCCGGCCCGACCCGTTTCAATATGGACATGGGCTTTGGGCCGGGCCGGGATCAATAATTTTACTAAATGGGCCGGCACGGCACGGCCCGATAAATTAAATGGGCCGGCCCGGCCCGACACGAAAACGTTAAAAGCACGAGTTTAAATGGGATGGGTTGGCACGGCACGGCCTGTTTGACACCTCTAGGGCAAAGTGAACCAACAAACCTTGGTCAAGGGGGCACTCTAGGTCACTTTAAGTTTCAAGGAGAAAAGTGAGATTTGATTAAAGTTTCAATGGGCACTACAGTAAATAAGCCAATATAATATATGTAAATCTTAACTAGACTTTATATCCCTAATCCTAACCTTGATCCGACATGATGGAAATAGAGGTTCTTCACCCATACAACACCTTGATACTCTCTCTCTAGATGAGGTGAGAAACTATGTGAGTCTGTCTTTGCTTCAATGGAAGGGACCACTATATATATGCATTACTCGAATGCCTTGCCCATCAAGGAGCAGGCAAGTGTTCTATTTGCATTAGATTAGGTTGTTTTCAATCTATATAGAATTAGAAAGTCTCTTAGCTCTCATATTTTAATTAAAATAGCTTTGCACAAGAGATAATCCGATAAGCTAGAGTTTTAGCTCTTGATCAAGCAAATTACTTAAGACCACAATTCATGGATTAAGACAATGATTGTCTTCCAATCTAATGCTACTTGATGTGTACCAAAGCATAATATTTAAGCCGACCATACTTGCATTAGCAACATAGTGAATATTGTAAGCCGACCATAGGCGGTCTTCAATTTTGTCTCTTATTCGAGGCATATTGGGTGAACTTTTCAGCGTCAATAGTAATTTTGATCAGCTTATACATGCTCTACATCTACAACCAAAATCAATAAAATATTTTTTTTTAAAATCAACACCAAAAAGAAATATTAATTTGGGAATATTAATTTGTATGTTCCATATGCCCCAACAGCCAACCCCATGGAAACTGCTAGCATGACTTCCACAGTAGTCCTCGTAACATTCAACGTTGAGACTAATTTACTCAGGCCAAGTTGATCTGCTTTATGAACTTTCTTAGGCAGAATTATAGAAAGAACACCTGCTTCAAATTTTGTTTTGATATTGCACAGCTTGTACTCTCTTCCTTCAAATGGTATTTCTTTGCTGAAGCGCTTCCATCTTGTTGCTGAGGTTCCTTCCAAAACATATTCACGTTCTCCTTCGATCAATATTTTGCCAAACTTGACCTTCACGTTTATTTGGTCCCGTTGGAAGCCTGCAAAAGTTCAAAGGAAACTGAAATCTACTCATAGATTGGAAAGAGATCAGATTGCTATTTTATTTTATACGTTGGGATGAATACGAACTCTTAACCTATTCTAATCCGAATCCCTCTTTTTAACCCCCAACCTCCCCACTGACTAAGAAAGATTATTTTAAATCACGCTATATACTTATATAATAATAATTCGGAATATGAGAGGGTGGACCAGGAATTTATATAGGGCTGGGCACAATTTGTTTTTCTTTCTTCTATATTATAATAGATTCTAGAGAAATTAGAAACCAAACAAGTTTATTCTTGACTTCGTGGAATAAAATACAGTCAGTGGCTGCAGCTTTGTGGGAGTTACGTAGCTTATAAAATTTAAGAAGGTTGGGCCAATATATGTGGGAGTAGGGGTATCGTATCAAATTTGCACCAAATCAGTATTTTACCAAATCTTGCCTTGGGCTAGAGCCGGATTCTGAGCCTCTACATTTAGAGTTTACGCATTTACCTTTATTTCGCAAAATCTTGACCATCCTAATAATCTAAACCGCTTAAAATAAGACACATCATCAAACTTTGAGAAAATAAATTTAAAAAATCTAGTAACTTCAAATATTGGAAAATTTAATTTAAAACTAAAAAGATAAGATTAAAAAGCCACATAATCTCTAAAAAATAAAAAAACTGAAATGCAGCTTCCCCTCCCCAACCCTATCCCCACCAACCCCAACACACCCAAGTAGACATACCATCCACCATCTTTCTCCCCACCCAACCCAACCCAACACCACCCAAGCCACTATACCATTCACCATCTCTCTCTCTCTTCCTCGCATCTCCTCCTTCCTCCTCACCTTTCGTGAAGAAACCAACAGCCCTTCCCCCTCACTTTTTGTGGAAAGGGAGTGGATATTTTTCTTTTTTTTTATTACTATTTTGTTTAAACAATTAAATAATTGTCTAATGAAAAGTAAAATTAAACAATTATGTTGCTAACTTGTCATGTCTTTAAACGGTTAAATTATTAGGATGATCAAGATTTTGCAAAATGCAAGTAAATGCATGAAATCTAAATATAGAAGCTCGGAATCCGCTAGAGCCCACTCCAACCTACATAGTTCCGCCAAACAATAAACCGCAAAAAGAAATAAAATCTAATAAAATCTTGATGTTTCAACCGAATTAGCTACAATCTATACAATTGCGAGAAATCAAAGTATTTAGTGCCTAGTTCTTAAATTTAGCAATTTTTTCACGTGTCATAGTATTATTGGTAGGAAATAGCAAAACATTGCTATCTCGGTTGCAAGTAAATTTTTCTGCAAAGTTGGGGCTTGTGAAATCCTGATCCTTAATTACATAGCCAATTAAGAAAATATATATATATACCTCTGTCCATCCAAAACTTCAAAGGGCTGAGTAAAGTATATTTACCTTGGAGATGGACTCTCAGAGTGTTGCTGGTTTCCCCACTTTGCCATTTGCAAAAGGGTTCGAAATAATCGTAATAATTAGATTTGGCGTCCATGGGAGGATGCCTACATTAATAGCTAGTTTCTTATGGAAGAGAGATATTAATTGTGCTCTAGCTATGAATTAAGTATAGGTCCATTTATACTTTGCCAACAAAACAAACTATATAGACTTTACCAAATGGTAATAGAATCATTCCATTCTTTTCGTTCGCTTTGTTTCGAAAGCTAGGTAGCTCTTTCGCATATATATGGGCCTTCCTTCGCTCACGTTTACACAGAATAAGTGGAAATTATTCTTAACTTCTGTTTCTTATCCAGCACCACTGCACTAGCACGTAGTATTTCTGGTCCACGTTTTATAATATGAGTACATGTTTATTGATACTATACTTTAAAATAGAATTTACAAGAAACATGCGTATTTTAGCAAAAAAATTTGATTTAGGAAATAAAACCTCAAACCTTTATAAAATAAATAAACTAATGCGGAGAGAAATATCATTAAAAAAAGAGCCAATTGATTTGTCAAAAGTGCTTTATTATTAGTTTAATCAACTCAAATTTAGTGATTTTCAGTTTGTTCTATTTAAAATATTAAGGGAAATTTATATTTAATCAACTCAAATTTAGTGTTCACATGTTAGGTTTGAATGTTTACCCCCACTATTTACTCAATATGTGATGTTCACATGTTGGGCTTGAATGTTTGACTCTGATGTTGACTTGGCTCCACGTGTGGCTCACTATGTGGTGGTCCCACGCGAGGGGGAGTGTTGAATAATATAACTCCTATATCAGAAACTTGACTAAATAAAATACAAGATATATTGAATGGTTTCAATACTAATATCATCGAGGCTTTTTGTGATAAAACCCCACACTTACTAAGCTTTGTAAGTGATTAAGTTAGGGATAATATCAGTGTTGTTAGTAATAGGTCGCTGACTTGTCTCTCTGAAATTTAATAGAAGTGACCTTCCAACCCAGCCTCATCTTCATAATCTCATCCTCATACCCACCCCAACCCTGTTCATATCGCTACACAAAAAATGTAGATGGATGGTTTGGTTTATTTTTCTTTTCAATTTATAAACACATTTGAGGACGAAATTAAAAATCAGGTATAAATTCAGGAATTACTTATGTTAAAAACCCTTCATGATTATGTATTCCTAATAGTGATACGACGTTTTTTTGGAGAATGATATGGCTTCTATAGATTGTTAATGTAGGAAAATTTTGCAGCATAAATGAAAATTGAAGTAATAAACTATAATTTGAATTTTCTTAGTGTGTATATTTAACGAAGTACATTTAATATCTTTTGCTAATATTGATGGGTAGATAATTAATATGAAATGCATATGAACTCATACGAGTTTTAATTGATTAGTGCTTCTCAATAGCGTGCTTAGATGGCAAGCATTTGAAGATTACGTAACCTCCAACAGCCACGCCCACAACAACAGCTACTGCAATTCTCAGGATCGCCATTTTACTAGTTTTCAGCCTCAAAAGCAAACTTTTGTTGACAACTGAATCAGATGCGTCATTTGAAGGTTTCTTTTTTGGCAGCCTTATTGAAAGAACGCCATTACCAAACCTTGCATGAAGATCCTTGGTGTTATAAACATCACAAGGCACTTTGAATTCTTGGCGGAAACGACTCCATCTGGTTCCATCCAAAGGACGTTGGCCTTCAATCTTTATGGTCTCTTTCTCGTCATTCAAGCATACATTGAATTGCGCAATCTTGAAACCTAATACGTACCGACGCAAATTATACAACAAGAAATCATTACTTTCCAAAACTAGTTATAAGTAACTCAATTTCTTCAGAGAAAGATTAATGAGAGTGAACTTTATATAGACTCAATAGATGATATTTTTCGCTTTCCTCGATTCTCCTCTAATGAACTTTATATAGACTCGCTATAGTACTCTATTTTCTTCTCTTTTTTTTGGACAAGATGATAATGATACTACTCTAATCTACACGTTGAGGGATTCGAACTCGGGTGGTGGGTACATTATCCAATTGACCTTTCTGTGATGGTTCTTAATAAACATCAGCAAGTATAAAATGTAGGCTTTTAAACAAAATGTCAAAGCTGAGCACGTAAGGTGATGGCTTTGTTCATCTAAATTCCCCAATTTAAAATGGATGACCGAACTTTGGGGATCACTGAATTGAATTTGGAAATTCTTTTAACACAGCCGACGGAAATGCTTTTAAATTACACATGTTTGGCGATTAAATACGTACCATAATTTCCACTATCACTTTCCTACAAGCCTAACGAATACCTTTCCAAGCTTATATATTCAGATACTTTTGTTCCTTTTATCATAGCATTTTCAAGCATATTGTCCTTATAAAGCAATGCATCACGTCCGGACCATAATAAAAGGAACTACAAACAATAAACACAAGGATATCTAGAAAAAAAAAAAGAAAAAAAAAAAGGAAATTACCATGGAGAGGAATCTGGTATGTATCGTATTGTTCCTCTCTTTGGAACTTGCAGTAAGGCATGAAATCCTCATAAGAACTTATAATGCTAACGACTTCACCGTTGGAATCCATGGCAACAGCTTAAGTTGCTTTTCTTCTCTCTCTCTCTCTCTCTCACACACACACACACACATATATATATAGCCGGAACGGATGGAATTACAGGTTTCGTGTAGGTTGGTCCAAAAGAGAATATTTCTTAGCATGTTTCATATTCCTAACCTGTCTTTCTTTTCTGCCTTTGCATTTCTTTAAAACAAGGCATGCGGAGAAACTTAGCTGATGCCCTTTTAACACAACATACTAAAATAGAAGTGACATAACCCCTCCCACCATCTACCACAAATCTAAAAACTAATGATTAATATAATTGAGTAGTATTGTCAAGACTGGTTATGAGATTTTGAGGCCCTGCCGAAACTAAATTGGAGCCCTCACATAATCTAATATGAAAATAATAAAAATAAATTGGCCATGACTTAATGTCATAAAACAATTTTTTTATAACTAAAATTTATCATCAATTAGCATGTAATAACGATCACAACTCAAATTCATAAATTTTAGGGTGTGGGGACACCTCATGGTATTTACCCCAAAAAAAAAAATCATAATTTTTTTTAATGTTTTCATTTGATAAAGTTAAATATTAGTATGTTCGGTAAATAAAATAAAAAAGAGTTCAAGAGAAAGAAGAAGGCATGACTTTTTTTTTTTTTTTTTTTTGAAAGGAAGAAAGTACTTTTTTGTTTTGTTTGGGTGTGATATATACTGTTGTTAGTTTAGTTGGGTCTTTTCTCTTTGTTTTTTTTTTCACGTGTTTTTTTTAAATTATTTTAAATTATGTTGTTATAATGAAAAAAGAATAAAAATATGAATAGAATCACATCACTAAGGCTTGAACTTGTGCCTTGTTTTGTACCAAGGGATATGCGCTAGAAACAACTCCACCAAATACACTTTCTATGTCAATTTGTTGTACAATGGAATATATATAAAGATTTTATAAAATTAATTTATATAATATAAAGTAAAAAAATTTCGGCAGCCCTAAAAAATCAGGGCCATGCGGAGTGGTGTCACTTGCACCATGCCTGGGCCGCCCTTGGTATTTGTAAACTTCCAACGATAAATACTGTTGTTAGTTTAGTTGGGTCTTTTCTCTTTGTTTTTTCTTTCACGTGTTTTTTTAAAATTATTTTAAATTTTGTTGTTATAATGAAAAAAGAATAAAATATGAATAGAATCACATCACTAAGGCTTGAACTTGTGCCTTGTTTTGTACCAAGGGATATGTGCTAGAAACAACTCCACCAAATACACTTTCTATGTCAATTTGTTGTACAATGGAGTATATATAAAGTTTTTATAAAATTAATTTATATAATATAAAGTAAAAAAATTTCGGCAGCCCTAAAAAATCAGGGCCATGCGGAGTGGTGTCACTTGCACCATGCCTGGGCCGCCCTTGGTATTTGTAAACTTCCAACGATAAATACTTTGTATAAGACTACTCTTTTAGTTATGGGTCATGCTAGGGAAACCTATCTTTAGATACCAACTTGTATACCATCTCTCTAATAGAGGTGGAGCCCACTAATATAATAGGCCTCACCTCTATTTTAAAGGTATAACACAAGTTGGTCACTAAAGTTTGTCTCCCTAGCATTTTCCTTTAATTATTCATCAAAATCTCCTACGCATTTATATATAATGAAAAAGCCCATCAATATCACTCATAAATGCCAAATCAAAGAAATAAACGTTTGTGTAGTCAATTTGCAATCATAAAGCTTTTACGGTTTTTAATTGCAGAGGTCCATAAACTTTATCTCGAGTTTCAATTGAGTCCCAAAACTTTTTGTTGGGACAATTAGGTTTGCCAACTCGACAAGTAGTTGCAATTACGTCCTACAGTGATATTCTATCAATTTGGTTGTCAAAATGAGGGCTAAAAGCGTCATTTTCAGAACAAGAGTCTCCTAAGCTGACCTAGCTAGCTAGCTAGCCATCCAATCCCAAGAACCCGGTTCCATCAGCATTTTGTTTATCAGCTCATAAGCTTCTTCCAGTAGCCCAACTCTTCCAACTAAAACGACATCATACGCACTCTAGACTCTAGCCATGCTTTCAAAGAAAATAAATAAATAAATAAATACTTACCCTTCCCTCCTCCTTTCTCCCAATTTCTCTATCTTCTCTTCCGCAACAACCATATCCCATTTATACTTTAAAATCCATAAAGGAGAAGTGTAATGTAATTCTTGAAAGACCAGAAGCCACCCAGAGACAGTACCAAGAACCACAAAAGAGAGCAACATAAGCTAAAAAAGTATTTGTCTCATGAATTTTGAGATGAATGATTTAGGTTCTCTGAAGTACTTCCTCATAATTGAAGTAGCAAGGTTAAAAACTAGTATATTTGTGTCTCAAAGGAAGTATATGATGGATCTACTCACTGAAACCTGAATGCTTGGATGTAAGCTTGCTGACACACCCATAGAGATGAATCACAAGTTGTGCGAAGACATGGATTGGTTGTCAATCAATAATGAACAATACCAGCACCTCGTTGGAAGGTTGATATATTTGGCACACACAAGACCAGATATTGCATATGCTGTGAGTGTGGTTAGTCAGTTTATGCATTCACCTAGTGTTTCTTATAGGAATTTAGTTAATCAGATCTTAAGATACTTAAAGTCAGCCCCTGAAAAAGGATTAATGTTCTCAAAGAATGAAAATCTTGAAGTTGTATATATAGATGTTGATTGGCCTAGTTCCATTACAGATAGACGCTCTACATTGGGTTACTTTACATTCGTTGGAGGTAACATAGTCACTTGGCGGAGTAAAAAACAAAATGTGGTTGCTCAGTCTAGTGCAGAAGTAGAGTATCGAGGAATAACTCAAGAAGTTTGTAAATTATTGTGGATCAGAGGTTTCTTGACAGAATTGGGTTTTAAACCAGATAAGCCAATGGAGTTCAATTGTGATAACAAGTTAGCTATTGATATTGCTCATAATCCAATTCAAGATGATCAAACTAAACATGTTGAGGTGGATAGACATTTCATCAAAGATCAAATTGAGAACAAGATCATTTGTCTACCCTTTGTAAAAGCAGAAGATCATTTAAAGGATGTCTTAACAAAAGGTATATGTGGACGAGTGTTTTATGAGTCAATTACCAAGTTGGGCATTGGTGACGTGTATGCACCAACTTAAGGAGGAGTGTTGATGTGAGTTAACCTAATTAATTAGGTGATTTACTTCATTGTTTTATATAGTTTACACATCCTTGTATAATTAGGAGATATTCTCATAATTAATTATTATATATGTTTCCTTGTAAAGCACCCTTGTAAACTCTTATATAAACCTAGAGCTGGCAATGTGTTGTGTCGTTTTTGGTTCGTGTCGTGTTGGGATAATAAACGTGTCAATAAACGTGTCGAGTTGGGTTCATGTCGTCTTAAACAGGTTATTAAACAGGTTACCTAGTTAATAACCTGTTTAATAAAAAGCGGTAGCAACTAATAAAGCAACATCAACATATACAAAGAACCATAAACTACGACGACCCGTAATTATATTTCATAAATAATAACGTGCATGTTACAAAACTCACAATTGGAAAAATTTAAATTTAAAAAAAAAGAGAGAGGAGAAAAAATATAAGGAAAAGAAAGAAAAGAGAGAGAGAGAGAGAGAGAGAGAGAGAGAGAGAGAGAGAGAGAAGGAAAAGAAAGAAGGAAAAAAGAGAGAGAGGAGAGAAAAGAGAAGGAAAAGAAAGAAAGAAAAAAAGAGAGGAGAGAAGAGAGAAGGAAACGAAAGAAAAACGAGAGAGAGAGGAGAGAAGAGAGATGGAAAAGAAAAAAAAACAAAAGAGATAGAAGAAAAAAAACATTATAAATATCAAAAGGTGTAGCATATAAACACTAAGTTGTTTGTAGCATGGTGGATAAGGTGTTAGAGAGAAATGAAGGTGACAGGGGTTTGAAACTCCTTGTGTGTGTGCTAAAGTCTCCATTTCTCTTTATTTTTTAGCCTAAAGTATTCAAACCAACATCAAGAAAGAAATATAGAGGAGGGGCAAGGACGTGATACTAAATATAATTAGTTAATTTGTAATTTTGGATTTAAAAAATATTTCTCACGTGCCAAGCACGTGAATCCTCACGGAAAATTGAATGCAAAGACTTGATGGCAAGGATGAAATTGGCTATTTGTAAAGAATTCAAGTGTTAAATTGACAAAAAGAAATCAATGAGGGTTAAATTCAAGTATCATGATAACAATAACAATATCTTTGCAACAGTATGTGGCACTGGCATTCTGGAAACTTCATCTGATGGAAATTCTGCTTTGTGACCATAATTGCAATAGTTTAAAGATACAATTAGCAACAACAACACTAAAAACCAAACTAATAAAATTATAAATAATAAATAAATAAAAACAGCCAACTTGAAAAATAATCAAAGAAGTGTAATTTGATCTGGAAATGATGTGCAACTTATTTTAATTCAGTTTTGGACACAAGCTGACTTTGGATATCTATATATTGCATAACCTCCAAGAGCCATTCCCAGAGCGACCCCCGCCATCTTCAGAACCATCTCCTTGCTTAAAATTTTGCTTCTTAAACCAAGTAAATAGTAATTAATTGCCGACCATGTAGCAATTTTAGCTGCCTTAATCTTGTCTCCGCTGCCTGATAATTGTGTTGAAAGGTTTGGCACTTTCTTAGGCATAGATATGGAAAGAATTCCATGCGAAAACTTAGCACGGATTCCACTCGCATTACAATTTGTAGAAATTTTGATCTCTTTGAGGAAGCGGCTGGGTGGAGATGCAGTTTCTTCTTCCATAGATTGCTTTCCACTAATGGTTAGGATGCCCTTGTTGTCGATTTGAACTCTGACATCTTGTCTTTTGAAACCTACATGAATCAACAAGTAAAACAAAATAAAAGAGAAACGTGACATGGAATGTAACCCGCTGAACATAATGTTCTGTTGTCGCACTTATGTTGTTAGTCAAATGCTTACGTATTCAGACAAGAATCAACATGATCTAGGAGTACCTGGTAGATGAACCTCAAGAATTTCAAGTCCTTCCTCTTTCTTCCACCGGCAAAACGGTTCAAAGACCTCGTAACACTGCTCATCGTTTGCTGAAAGCTTGGTTTCCATTGGAAAGTTTATGCTTCTTTGTTTTCTTTTTAAGGTTTCAAGTAAAGAAAATGTTATCAAGTTTCTTGGCCAAATGAGGGCCTCTCTTTCCTTATCTTATACATGATGAAAAGGGCATTTAGAAGCTACCCGAAAAGGTTTCTTCTGGGTTTTCCTTTGAAAGAGAATAAATCCCTTTTTTGTTTACTTCTCCCGGAGTTTTGTTCTTGGTGCATACATTGAGGGAGGGAATAATTTATTTGTCCTCAAGATATCCTAATACTTCATGAACACATCAGCCAAGGTACTAATCTAGCAGACAACAGTATATGCACTTCTTATATTATATGACAATATCAATTTCGTAAATTTGAGAAGAGTAATAATAGGAATTAGGGACGGAGTGTTTATGCAAGCTAGTTAAAGTATAAAATGTACATCAATTAATATGAAAAATGAAAAGAGAAATGGGTATATTCGATCAATAAACAAATTGAAGTCGTTGAAAACATCATCAAGCGATGATTATATATAATAGGTTTAGCCTGTGGTGGCAGTTCATTTGGAGGCCGTCAAGGCAACAAGAAAGTCTCTGTAATCCCCAGATGGGATTTTGTCACTTTCACATAATGCATCTCTGAGTTCAATCCCATGCTGCCTTTTAAACTCCCTTTGAATTTCATCCATGTCTACTTCAGCTCTGTTCACCATCACACGTGTCAATGCGCCTTTATCGGTCATGGACCCCTTGATGCTTGCATACAATATCTGCTCAAGTATTAGTATCACCATGTTCCAAACTGTGAGTCTGAGGCTTTTTTTTCTTTTTAATTCCCACTTCTGCCTTTTTTCGTACCAAACTGAGACCATTAGCTCAAAAGGAAATAGAAGAGAAAATGATGATTACCGTAGCGAAATAGGTAGCTGGTCTGTAGATGCTTTGGACGACTGTTTTCATTGCGTTTTCAAATTCTCCAGAGTTTCTGGTCTTCAGGTACTGCAGCATACCAAGTAATTAGCCATGGTTTCAAATTTCTTTAGTTTAATTTGATAATGGAAATTCCAGAAAAGTAAGCCAAATGTGGAAATTCCAGAAAAGTAACCATGCTAGTTATTTACCTCTGTATACTCGTGTCCATAGATGTGTTTATAGCAAGAAAATGTAAGTTTAAGCTGTGGAATGCTCCGTTTGCTTAGTATTTCTAGTACAACAGCTTCTATGGGCCCTGAACTCCCCTCCCCTGTTTCGTAGAGCCTCCGTGCATCCGACTTGGCGATATGTTGGCTAATATCTGCTTGGTGTGCCTTGTGGGATGCAACCAATGCCACCAGTATCTGTTACATAATTGTGTGTTTATGTTTTTAGCTTCATTACTACATAACAAGCTTAATTAATTAAATTACCTTTTGGTAAGGATGGGGAGGCTCAATATGGATGATATCTTGGTCCAACTGCCTCCCAAATCTTCTCTGATATGCTTGTTTGATGAGAAGGATTTGACTTGATTTTCGACCAACAAAAATCTCTACAAGAGCGCTATAGTTTGTGTCACCTTGCTGATCATCAAGGGCCACCCGAGCCACAATTGCATCGCGTTCGTGCTGCTCTTTCATCCACATGGACAAGGCTGCACATAATTTTGGTGAAACCCCAACACCAGCAGCTGCCTGTTTTCTGTTGTCAGCCATTTGCTCTGCCTTTTGGAGTCTGTTTCCCAAGTCCTCTCCATATATTGCCTTGTAAGTTTCTCTAATCTGTTGCCTTTCAAGCCGGGTTCGGCCAGCCAAAGCCAGAGCCAATTGGTTTAGCTGTCCCCAAGAGTCATGAATCTCTTTGCATTCACTTTCAAGATTGAGGGCTGACATGTTTAGCATTTTGGTGCACATAGGAGGAGCATTTAGGTAGAGCAACAATATTACATGGACTTATATGAAAGCAGATGACTTGGAGGCCAAGGAAGGGATTTTCACTTTTTGGGCATGCCAGGTAAGGGCTGGTAAGATAGTGGTGGACAATGTGTAAGTCTAGTGGAAACTGAAGCTTCAGTTGATGATGATGTGCTATAGTTCGGACTGTTGCTGTCCATGAACCATGTGAATTTTGTTTTGTAGCCAAAGGTTGGTGGATTTCCTATTAGACAATGAGTATGAATTGACCTCCTTTTTAGCAACTTTTCCAAACCCCATTCCAACCTCATCTTCCTTTTTCTTATTCTTTTGTTTGAGTTTTATTTATTATTATTATTATTATTATTATTGTTGGAGTCTCATCCATCTCATACATCATCAATTTTTTTTTCATTGTTGTTGTTGGTATCATTATGATAATAGAAAAGTTATACATGTGTTACAATGAGTTTGACCTGCTAGATAATTGCTTAAATGTCTTTAAGGTTGTGCCGCAGTAGTCAAGCGGTCCTTTTCCCTTCCCAAAGACACCTGGGTTCGAGCCACATTGTAAGCAATCTCTAGATAACCAATGTAGAAATACCATTTTAACAATTCAAATTCTTTGTAGTTGTTCAGGCATCATTTATTTATTTCTTAAGGTATTAATTTTGTCTTTTGTGTAGAATTTTTTGGATTGTGCCCAACGAGAGCACACCAAATATGAACTACTCACAACCCGGCTATATGACAGAAGTTTTCCAAGGCATAATTCTGGGGATCAGTATAAATTCTAGCGAGCTGACAAATATTGCGAGTGTAGAAAATACGTAGTAATTAATGAAAGAATATTAAACACACAACAATCATTTATTTATAATGATTTACTACAATATTTTACACTTTATATGTTGCATGTTAAGATACATGAGTGACTTAGTACCACATAGAGTTCCTATAAGGTTTGAATTTGAGTTATATAAACTAATACCTCTTCAGGTTTTCGTCTTTTGGCTTTTTCTCAAAACTCTTTGAGGTTATAGAAATTATAAGATCACCCCCTGAGGTTTTAAATTGTTTTCACAAAATTGCTTTCATTAATTTTTCATCCAAAGATTAATGATTTTATACCCAAAAAAATTTCTGAGTGACAAAGTTGGCCTTTGAGATTAGATAGCATATACTTCATTGAGGTTAATTTTGTCATTTGCATAAGTTTTTTTTTCAATAAAATTATCAATTTTTGTACAAACAATCAATGAAAAGGGTTTTGTGAAAACAAACTGAAACTTCAGGGAGTGTTCGTATAATTTTTGAGATTTGAAGGGGTTTTGTGAAAACACAAGAAACCTCAGGGGGTGTTAGTGTAAATAACTCTTCAAAATTTTCATTTTCGTCATCATGTCACTATTATTGATATTATCGCAATATTATAGCGATATTTTGGCCAAATGTTACTGAAGTTGAGAGAAATTATCGACGTTAATATTTTATGATATTATTGATACTTATACGATATATATATGGATATGTTCTAAAATATCCTAAACCCGAAAAAATGATAATGTCTTTGATATTTAATCGATATTTTAGTCCTACTCACAACACAAGCAGGCACTTGAGAGTGTAGCTCTTCTCTGAGTCAAGTTTTGAGGATCAGAGTGCGCTCAGAAGGCTTTGAGGGTGGCTTGTCTCGGTTTGAGTTTTAAAATTTATACTTTTACTCTTCTCAAAATCTAGCCCCAGTTTCACTTTTCTTCAAATAAAAAAATAATGCTTGGGCCCAATAAATGGTCTATAGACCCAACCTTTTCCCAAAATTCCGGTTTTGTTGCCATTCTAATTTTATTTAATTTACAAAACAAATCAAATACAAATATTTGGAACCGAAGAAACTAAAGAATAAAAAAAATTAGGCTTATTTATAGTTTCACCTCTTAGAACTTTAACTCGCTCTCACTTACCCAGCACTAAAATTTCCTTATTTTACTCTCCATTCTCCCATTCCATCTCAAACTAAACATCTTTTCATTCCTCTTTTTTTTTACGGGTCTTTTCATTCTTAATATTGTACGAACCAACACACGGGAATGAGAGAAAATGACATTTGCTAGTCCTCAATTCCCAACGTTTCCAAACATGAGAATCAACATCCTCCATTCGCATTTCATAGAATTAGACATGGGAAGTTTATTCTCAAGATGTTCAATCCACGAAACAAACGGAAAATAAAAAAGAAAAAAATAATAAGAAAATTTTAAAAATTCAGAAAAAACAAAAAAACGGAAGTCTTAAGACACAAAAAAGGGCGTGCATACAGGCAATGGATGCGCGGTTCCCGCCATTCGGTCCAGTTAAACCAAACCGAGTCCACCCCATTACAAATTATTTTTCATTAATTGCATGCTTAATTAACACTAGACTCTTGAGTGGTTGGTTGGGATTGGGAGGAGGAACTGAAGGACTTGTTAGCTTCTCCAAATTCAGGGTTCCAGCGACAACAGCTAAAATTCATGGGCATTGCCAATGGCGAACAAGAAATTGCAGAAGACCCACGTACCTGATGATATTTTAGTCAAAATTCTCTCCAGGTTGCCAGTCAAATCCTTGATCCGATTCATCTGCGTCTCAAATCGCTGGCGTTTTCTGTTGTACGACCCGCAATTCGCCAAATACCACTTCAAAGTAGCATCTGAGCAACAAACACTGAATCCCAGCCTCCTCATCTCCACTGCCTCTGAGCTCCGATCCGTACACTTGGAAACGCCGTCGTTTGCAATTGGTGGAAATTCTTTGGTCAGAAATCTCAGCTTCCCATTCAAGAAACAGGGCCGCGCTGTCAAGGTACTGGGCTCCTGCAATGGTTTGGTGTGTGTAGCTCTTGATTTTCATGAATGCTTTTATATCTGGAACCCATGCACTAGATTCTTGCAGAAACTACCTGACCCAGATTTCGGGTCAGAAGAAATTAGGAGGCATTACAAATATGGGTTTGGTTATGCATCCACCATTGATGACTACAAAGTTGTTGTGGGCGCGGAGTTGACGTATGAAACTGACAGAGCTAACAGATACCCTGTTGTGGTCTTCTCATTGAGAGCCAACTCCTGGAAAAAGATTCAAGCTCCCTTTTCACACCATGGGCATAGTGAGGGGGCTCTTTCAAATGAGGCACTCCATTGGCTGCACACATCAAGTAGGCCACAACCAGCTGCAATTGCTTTCGATTTGGCAAAGGAGGAGTTCCGAAACGTGATGTTGCCAATTTGTGAAGAAAATGAGTTGGGTTACAGACGAGTGGGGGTTCTTTTAGAAGGGTGCCTGTGTGCATGGGCTAATGGATTTCCTGATTTTGAATATCTTGAAATCTGGGTCATGAGAGAATATAATGTGTATGAATCATGGACTGTGCTATTTAGGGTTGCCAATGATGTACCTATGTTCATTAGGGAAAGTGGTACAGTTGTGATGCGGGATCGTAATTCCAAGAATGTGGAGTTGATATGGCTTGATAAAAACGAAGACAAGCTTAAAAAGGATGTGGTTTTACGTGAGCGATATATGCTTCAGGGGTTTGACTCTGGAAATGACCTGACTCAATATGTTGAGAGTCTGCTACCTTTCGTCTCCATCATTTGCGGTAAGTACATCCTTGATGCATTTGAAAATTATCTGTTCATTTTGATCTGCTAATCCACTGAAATTGAACACAATCGTAAACACAAACACTGAGATGTTGGTTCCTGGTATTTTCTATGAAATGCATTTAAAATTGTCCTCGACCTATATTTTCATGTTATGAGCTAGACCCACACGGCTCCCGTTCTTGAGCCTTCTCATCCTTTCTTGTATTTTCTTGCATATTAAAGAGTCTGTGTAAACCCTTTCTTCTTCTATTTCTTAAATTGGCAGATCAACAAACACCAGTAGTAGCAATTCCTCTTTCACATCTGATCACTGTCCAAGAGATCACTGTTCAGAACATCAGCATTATGGTTCCAATGAAACTCACTGGCCCTAATTTCACCATATGGAAATGGCTATTTCTTCAAGTTCTCAGGAAATATAGAGTAGAAGGTTTGGTTGAAGGGACAGAGATCTGTCCACCTGCTTTTTTGTTTGATACCAATGGTAAAATGACCAATCAAGTGAATCCAGCCTTTGAAAAATGGATGGATCGGGATCAAAGTGTAAAGGTTTGGCTTAATTCAAGAATCTCTGAAGATTTATTGCCATATACAGTTGGGGCTTCTTCCTCTCACGCACTCTGGACGATCATGAAGAAACGGTTTGCCGATGCTGATTGTCCCTTTGGTTGAGGTGCGCACTGATCCTCCCTCTGTGGATGAATTACATTTACTACTGTTTGAAAGCAAATATCTCTTTCTTTTTATTTTTTATTTTTGAAAAAGAGAAGTTTTATTTCATAAAAAACCATACAAGAAGGTGGATAAGTAATCCACCAATAACAGGAAGAAATAGTATGAGATAAAACTTCTCTTTCTCAAGAGCGTGAACTGAAGAATTATCACATGAGACTTCACATAAGGATGTGCATCCAACAAAAGTACGACTAGTAGTTGGGTAATGCAGGATCAATGTAGGTTGTTAGTTTTGTAAGTTTACAACTGAGTTTGTTGTAGATGGTTAAGCTGAGCCCTTATGCTTGAAGCCATTTCTGTCGATTGTGTTTTCTTAGTATCTCATCTTATTTAAAACGAAAGGCTTTGCTACACTTTGATTTCCTAATTGTGCCTGAATGTGTGCTAAAAAAAGCTGAAAGCAAAGTAAAGATTATGAGTCTGTGGTCTCAAATCCTGGTTGTTTTTTTTTCTCAAATCCTGGCCTAGCATGTCTTTTGATCTATAGGTTGGATCAAGGTGTTTTCTTCAATTTATTTCGTTCAATATTTTATTCCTCTGAAAGGTACATCTGGTAAGTGTCCCTTGGATTTTAGCAGATAAAATGTGTTCTTGCCTAACATGTCTATTAAGCTATTCGGTCAGTGTGTTTTGTTCAAATTATTTTATTTCAATCTTTTATTTTTTTTAATTGTTCTTGTTTGTTTACTTGCTATTATTCTCCTGAAATATAAAATGAAAAACTTAACTTTAAGATTTTAAGGAACTCAAATGGCATATGAGTTCTAAATTAGTCTATCATGTTCTACATTCAAGTAGACTAAGTCAGTTAAGAAAAATGTCCATCACACTTGAGCCCCTTGTATAGATGTAATCAGTAAGACATGGCAATGCTTGTGGAAATTATTTTGTTTTGGATTCTGAAAAGTACATTTGGTAGTTCTCCCTTGGATTTTAGCAGGTAAAATTTTTTTCCTGTCTCTATTATTTTCCTACATTGAACCGTCGAAAATCCTTTTTGTTATGTTATTGTGAATTTCTTATGATGTCATAATGATATAGTTGGTGAAGTTTTCTTTATATTCTTTCTCATTTGTTTGGTGTTAGTGGTATCCTTTTAGTTGTTTCTGTTGTCTGAAGAAATTAACCAATTCTTGCTTCTTCATTTTTTTTCTCTCTGGCATGACTAGTCTGTTTCTCTAACACATGCGTGATTAAATGGTTTTAGTGCCAGATCCACTGGCTTCTAGAAAGCATTCATCCTCTTCAAAGTCGGAAGAGAATAATTTTTCATTCAACATTTATTTTGCGTTGTATGCTTGACTGATTTCCCAGAGAACATGGAAACAACTAAAAAGAAAGCAGTAACAACAACTAATGAGGAAGAACATGAAGAAAATTACAGAAAATCTATGATGATCATACCAAAAGAAATTCACAACACCAAACACCATTAATTTTAGGAAAATAAAATAGAGACTCAAACAAACTTTTACTTAATAAAAACGCAATACTCCAACTTCCAAACGGCAATGGTCTCAAAAATTTAATACATAAGTGAAAAGGGCTTGCCTAAGTGTTTTGTTTCGGTTTATGATTTTTAAATATTAGTGCTATTTCTTCTTTGATTGCTAGTCTATATAGCACTTAAACTTGTCCCAACTAGATTAGTCATGCTAAACTAGGCCAATGATTGCTTTAATGAACAAGTCCTTTTGAAATTTGTTCGTTTGAATTCTATCTCACATCACATCTGCCCTCGAAACAAAGGAAGAAATTATTTTCCTTGTTGATGGTCGATTTTCATGGTTTGACAGTTATTTGATGATGTTCTGAAAGTTTTTTTTTTAATGCTTTGGTTGAATTTTGTAGGGGAGTTGGAATGTACACTTCCAAGAAACCAAAGATGAGAAGGAAGCAGTTTCAAGCATCTTAGATGACCTACTTGCACAAAATGACATGGTGAATATATTTCGTTGAATGTCCCTTTAGTTTTTTGTTTTGGTTTTGAAGCCTATGAGTAAATTACAGTGATCATTTCGGCATATGGCCAGCTAATAACGGGTTGATACCTTGTTTCAATGCCTCATCCCGAGACCTGAAACATGACTTGGTATTTTCTTTTTCAATAATAAAATTTAAGAAGTCGTGATTTAAACTGGTATCCACCTAAATATTGTTACTGTATTTGAAACAGTGCTTGCACAAAAATATTTTATAAACCGAACATAGAGAATGTCATGGAATTCTCTTTAAAAATATGGATGCTGAGCTGACTGAGGCTTTTAAAATGTATAATGTATAAGTGGCCGTTATATCTCCAAGGCTTGCACAAGGCACAGGTGATAATAAGAAACGGCATCTGACCTTTTCTTTTCTTTATTTATTTATGAAAAGTTGAAAACGAGCATCCGATTTCATTTGAATTGATTTGATTTGCTAGAGGAAGAGGTTGTTCAAAAGGTCTTATTTTTTGTACTTCAATACAGGAGTAACTGCTTTTTCTTCTCTTCCTTTTTTATAGAACATTTCCTATTGAAATGGACTACAAATACAAATCCGTACTCGGTCGAGTCCACATTTTTAAACTCTCCACTATATTCACATGTTGTAAGATGTAAATAGTTAAAATACCTTAGTTTTGAGTAAATGGCGTCCCTCAAACAAATTATTTACAAATAACTATATATTTAGTTTTAATATACAGTTTTTGAATTCTTATAACAACTTAGGTGACACGTTGCTTACCCATTTGTCTTATTGAAAAAGTTGGTCACTTCAAGGGACTCGGCAATGTAAATCTACAAATTATTATTATATTATTTATTTTTATCTTTTATATTTACTATTATATTTTATGGAAAGTAAGTGTGAGAATGTAGAGATGAAACAATTGAAAATTCTAGTCCAACTCAGGTCCCGTTCGGCGCGCGGACTCCACTACAAATTTACGCATCTCGCATGTTTTGCTTTAGCCATTGAAATGCATCTCGCATTGACCAAGAAAAGAATCATAACGTGCTTTTGTTCTTTTACAGTAATTACCCTTCCACACTTTGTCTTATGTTCACATCCTCCGTTCTGCCCTTGCTTCCTGGTTTAAGTTTTGTTCTTTTCAATTAAATAATGAAATTAAAACTTTTTTTTTGGTGGTCAAGATGAAATTAAAGAGCATCCACAATTATGATCTCTAATTTTTAGTTAAAATTTAACTAAAAATATATATAAAATATATTTTAAAAGCTTTTTATAAAATTTTAACTCAAATCATACTCTTTTAGTTAAAGGAGTTATAAATGCTATAACACTTTTTAATTGATCCATTTCTATAAATAAAAAAAATTGTTAATATTAATTAAAAGTTTAAAATAATCATAAATAAAGCAATATTAAATTAGGAAGTTGATTTCCCCACTCTCCTGTTCTTTACTTACACTCCTTTTTGATTTTTAATTAATTTTGTTCTTTCTCTTTCCTATTTTATTCTTACTTTACATTAATTTTTTTTTACTTCATTTTTATATTATTTCTTTTTCTTTATATTTAATTTTCCAACAAAAAAAAAAAAAAAAAAAAAAAAACTTATTCAATTAAAAGTAAAAAAAAATACTGAAAATTTAGTTCAAGTTGGAAAATTAAGTATAAAGAAAAAGAACTAATATAAAAGTGAAGTAAAAAGAAATTATTATAGGGTAAGAGTAGAATAAAAAAGAGAAATAATAAAATTGATTAAAGAGTATTAAAAAGCATAAAAGAGTGTAAGTGATGAAAAATGGAGTTAAATTATAGACAGCCAATAGGAGTTAGGATTGTGTATAATATTGATTGTGTTTTTTTTTTTTTTTTTTTTTTTTTTTTGTTTTTTTGATTGTCGATATTGTTTGAATTGAACAAATACATTCCTATCCTGCTGAAATTCTCTCTCTCTCTTCTGGTGGCTGGCACTTGGAAACTTCTCTCCCAGTCAGTCCCAGCTGTAACACCACCACCAACCACTGTCCTCATCATCACCACCGCCATCAACATCCCTCTGAAGACCTTCCCTCCTTCGCATAGAACATATTAAAGCTTTTTGGAGCACAATCACAATGCAGCAGCTGCAGGTCTTCAAATAAACCCGACCGGTACTTAATTTTTTTGTATTTTATAGTTTTGAATTTTGAATTTAATTTTATTCTATTTTTGGCAGACGAGGACAGTCCAAGTAAAACAACTATCAGATCTAGCTAGTGATAGAGAAATTCACGAGTTCTTCTCATTCTCTGGAGAAATCGAACGCATTCAGATCCAACGGTACGCTTTCTTTCTTTCTTTATTTTTCTTCTTTAATTTAAAATTTTAGTTTTTTTTTTTTATAATATTATTTTTTATCTAAACACTGGGTTTTTTCAATTTGTTTGGCTGCCGAGAAAATTTAAGGAAAAAACAAGGAGAAGAACACTTTAATATTTTCCCTGGTAATTTTCAAAGGAAAAAAAAGGTCAAAAAGTAAAAGGGAAGAGTCAGCTTAGACAATATATATGTATTTACTTAAACGCATGCATACTTTAATTTTAGAATTTTAAAGTATATTTTTTTCGTTTTGGTTGGGTGAGAATTTTAGGAAAATTTTAAAAGAAAGAAAGAAATCACTTGGGTTTATTTTCATAAATTTGACTTAAAGCCAATGTAACCAAGTCTTTTTTTTTCTTTTTAATTTTACCATCTTTCTTGCATGTACTGAGCAACCAAACCAAACCAGTTGTAAGTGTTTCTTGCGATTATTAATCTTGTTTTTTGAATTGGATGTGTGCAGTGAGCCTGGACAATCAAAGACTGCATTTGTTACTTTCAAGGATCCCAAAGCTCTTGAAATCGCGTTGTTGTTATCGGTATTTTCTCAAATTTGGTTTTAACTTTCTTGCAATTGAAGTCAGTGCCTTATAATTAAACTTGAGAAAAGAAGCAGCTTATTGGAAGCAAGCCTCTAATTGAACACTTCTCTTTAACTTCAAGCTAGGCTTTTTGTGCTTTTAGTTTAATGCTCAATGTGAGTTGCTTTGGAAAGCAATAAAAATACGTGAGGACAAAATTGGTCATTCGGTAATACAAAAATAAATAATCAAATTTTATTTCATTCCAAAAGGAAGATATTGGTGTATCAGAAACTTGAAACTAAGATAATGAGTCAAGGTCAGTCTTGCAGTGTGGTTTCTCAGTTGCTGCGTATCTTACACTCCTGTACACATTGTTTAATCTTTTAGGATTACTTTGAATCTTGGAATCCTTATAGGCCAAAATTCTTTATCTCCCCCTTCTTTTTCTGTATACAATGAGGTGATAGACAGTAAGAGATATAAAGAAAGCAAAATAAGCGTAGAGTTTTTTCCTATAAATAAATCAAAAGCACAGAATTGTGTTGGAACCAGAAAATCTACAAGAAACTGAGTAAGAGAAAGTTTGATAGCACTTGTTTTGCAGGAAGAATATCTTATTGAATTCAAAGATAGCAATGGCTTTTAAAAGCCTTACAAAGTAACTGAATGGAAATGTAACAACCCACGATTTTACAGCACCTAGAATCATGGTATATGACTAGACTTAAAACTGAACGTGCAACAATACTTGTTCCTTAGAAACAGGAATTATTAACAGCTACGTAAGTATTAGACCTGAAAACAAGGAAGTCTAACCTTAGTGACTAAGAAAGTCCTAAAAACTTCAACATTCTCCCTTAAACTGAATACCATTGTCATTCAGTTTACTGCTGGATAAGAACAAACACCCAGCAAACCTCGCAGCTTTAAGAAAACATCAAGCTTCAAAGGCTTTGTAAAAATATCTGCGACCTGCTCCTGGGTTGAACACTGAACCAACTCCACAACTCCTTCCTTCGTAAGATCACGGAGAAAGTGAAAGCGAACATCAATGTGTTTGCTACGACCATGCAAGACTGGATTTTTTGAGAGTTTGATGGCTGATACATTGTCACAATATAACACTGTAGATTTGCATTGATCATGACACAGTTCCTTTAAAATTCTCCTTAACCAAACTACTTGACAAGCACTAGATGCTGCAGAAATAAACTCGGCCTCAGTGGTGGAAAGAGTGACCACTGGCTGCTTCTTCGAAGACCAAGACACAGCACCTGAACTCATCATAAACACATACCCCGAAGTGCTCTTTCTGTCATCCTGATCACCTGCGTAATCACTATCCGTGTATCCCAAAAGCTCCTGCTTTCCTCCCTTCTTGTAAAACACCCCGAAATCAATAGTTCCCTTTACATACCTTAATGCTCTTTTTGCTGCCTGTAGGTGCATCTCAGTGGGACGCTCCATGTACCTACTAATCAAACTAACTATGAATGTCATATCAGGACGTGTAGCAGTCAGATACATAAGGCTTCCTACAATTTGTTTGTAGAGTGTACTGTCTACCCTTACTCCATCTTCGTCCTTCATGAGTTTAAACCCAGGAGCTATTGGATTATGCACTGGATTACATTGATCCATTTTGAACCTGTCAAGCACCTCCTGTGCATATTTTCGTTGCCCAATGAAAACACCATCTGGCCTTTGCAACACCTCAATACCAAGAAAAAACTTCATCTTTCCGAGATCAGTCATATCAAATTCAATCATCATGGATTGTTTGAAATCTTTAAACATAACCTCATCATTTCCAGTAAATATGAGATCATCAACATAAAGACAAACAAACAAAACTTTACCTCCATCCGCTGTTTTGATGAACAAAGTATGTTCATAGGGACACTTCTTGAAACCTTCTTGGCAAAATAAGTCTCTATACGACTGTACCAAGCTCGAGGAGCTTGTTTCAGACCGTACAACGCTTTCTTAAGCTTATACACTTTGTATTCATGTCCCATTTTCTCATAGCCAGGAGGTTGGGTGACAAAAACTTCTTCATTTAACTCTCCATGTAGAAAGGCAGACTTGACGTCTAGTTGATAGATCGTCCAACCCTTCTGAGCAGCAAGTGAAATCACAACTCGAATGGTGTCAAGCCTAGCCACTGGTGCAAATACCTCAGCATAGTCTACTCCATACTTTTGACTGTACCCTTTTGCAACGAGTCGTGCCTTGTATTTATCTACTTCTCCATTCTCATTGAGTTTCGTCTTGTAAACCCACTTCACCCCAATAACTTTGCTGCCAAGTGGTAACTCTGTGAGTTCCCACGTATCATTTCTTTCTATTGCCTCGATCTCGGAGTTCATGGCTTGCCTCCATTTCTCATTCTTTATTGCATCTTCAAAGAATATAGGATCACTGTCAGTGGACAAAGCCATGTAAGCAATGTTTGATTCTTCTTCCTCGGAAAGACCTTGCCCACTCTCATAGTCTTTCATCCATGCTGGTGGTCTTCGTGTCCGTGCAACATGAGGTGAGTTCTCATCAATCTCCTCATGAGACAAGTTTTCTTGGGCAACGCCATGATCCGTTTCTTCACTGCCCTCATTTTCTTCAGTGCTGCCAGCTTCCAATTCCTCCTCATTGTCACCAACTTCTGTTCCCTCTCCTTCATCTGTTTCACACTCAAGGTCAGCCACAATGGCTTCCTTATAACAAGCCTCCCAATCCCAACTTTGATCTTCTTCAAAAACAACATCTCGGCTCACAATTATTTTCTTAGAAATTGGGTCAAATAATCTGTAAGCTTTCGACTCGTCACTTACCCCAAAGAATATGCATTTGAGACTCTTGTTGTCAAGCTTTACTCTTCTCTGATCAGGTATATGAACGTGAGAGATACATCCAAAAATTCTGAAATGACTCACTGATGGTTTAACTCCACTCCATGCCTCTTCCGGTGTCTTACTTCTCACAGCAAGTGTAGGACTTCTATTGAGAATATGCACAGTCCAGTTAACTGCTTCAGGCCAAAATGTTTTTGGAATGTGCTTTCCAGAAAGCATGCTGCGAACCATGTTCATAATTGTTCGGTTCTTCCTCTCGGCAACTCCGTTTTGTTGGGGAGTGTATGCAGCTGTCAGTTGTCTTCGAATCCCATTCACACTACAATAATTAGTGAATTCTTGTGATGTGAATTCACCTCCACGATCTGTGCGAAGGGCCCTTATGTATGCTCCAGTTTCTTTTTCCACCCTAGCTTTGTAGTTTTTAAAAACAACAAAAGCTTCAGACTTTTCCACCAAAAAATATACCCAAGTCTTTCGACTGAAGTCATCTATGAAGGTGATGAGATACCGTTTTTTGCTATTTGATGTTGGATTGATTGGCCCGCAAATATCAGCATGTACTAACTGAAGAATTCCAGAAGCCCTCCATATGCTTTCCTTTGGAATTGAGTCCCTTTGTTGTTTCCCCACCAAGCAATCTTCACAAACTTTAAGAGGAGCTTTGACATGTGGCATACCTTCCACCATCTTCTTTTGTTGAAGAACTTTGAGACCATTCCAGCTTAGGTGTCCATATCGATTGTGCCAGAGTTGGGATTGGTCTGTGATAAGGGAGACAAGGCACCTTTGTTCCTTTAACTGACATCGAGCAACGATAATGAACATTCTGTTATGTGACATGGCAGTTTCCATGATTAAGCCCCTGTTAGGATGAAAGATCTTGCAAGTTCCGTGTTGCATGAGAACTGCAAGACCCTTCTCTTGTAGTTGCCCAATGCTTAGTAGGTTGTTCTTCAAGTCTGGCACAAAGAACACCTCAGTAACCATGTGCATGGTCCCATCTATCTCCATTCGAATGCTGCCCTTTCCTTGTACTTTCAAGCTTGCGTCATTTCCCAGTTTGACAGAATCCTTGAAGCCTTCATTAAGATCACAGAAAAACTCCTTCTTACCACACATATGGTTGCTGCACCCTGAATCCAGGAACCATAGGCAATCACTTCTAGCTTTGTTGTCATCCACATAAGCCATGAGCAGCATTTCTTCACTTGTCTCGGCAAAGTGTGCTTGCTTCTCCTTTTTAGGACACTCCCATTGAAAATGGCCAAGCCCATGACAATTGTAACACTCAACCATGGTTTTGTTAAACCCAGATCGGCCTCGGCCTCTTCCTCTTCCTCGATAAGAGCCACGACCCCCACTCCATCCTCCTGGCTGAGCTTCATTCGTGACTTGCAGTGCTTGTTCTTCCGTGGTATGTCTACTCATTTGTTGCTCATGAACTAGCAAACTGCTTTGAAGTTCGTCGATGGACAGAATGTCAATATCATTTGACTCCTCAATTGAGCACACAACATAATCAAATTTTGGAATCATGGATCTTAAGATTTTCTCAATGACCACCACATCACCCATCTGTTCTCCGTGAATTCTCATTTTGTTGGCAATAGTGAGAGTTCGTGCAAAATAATCGTTCACCGATTCTCCCACCTTCATATGAAGCACCTCAAACTCTTTGCGAAGAGCTTGCAGCTGTGCACGTTTGACTCGGGCTGTGCCTTGATATTTCTGCTTCAAGGAGTCCCAAATATCCTTTGCTGTATCCTTCTTTAGGATTGTCTCCAAAATCGATCGATCAATGGCTTGAAACAGATAGTTCTTTGCCTTCAGATCCTTTAGCTTGTGATCCTCGATTGTCTTCTTCTGTACCTCTGTAGGATCCACCCCTTCTGCTGCTGCAGGGATCCCAGCTTCCACCAAACACCAGTATTCCTTGGATCGCAGAAAATTCTCCATTAGCATGCTCCAATGATCATAGTGCCCATCGAACTTAGGAATGGCTGGCTGTACAAAACTGCTTTCACCAGCCATATTGTTACCCCTTCTCACTGAACTCGTGTTTACTTTAAGACTTTTGATCAGGCCCCGTGGTGGAGCTCTGATACCAAATGTTGGAACCAGAAAATCTACAAGAAACTGAGTAAGAGAAAGTTTGATAGCACTTGTTTTGCAGGAAGAATATCTTATTGAATTCAAAGATAGCAATGGCTTTTAAAAGCCTTACAAAGTAACTGAATGGAAATGTAACAACCCACGATTTTACAGCACCTAGAATCATGGTATATGACTAGACTTAAAACTGAACGTGCAACAATACTTGTTCCTTAGAAACAGGAATTATTAACAGCTACGTAAGTATTAGACCTGAAAACAAGGAAGTCTAACCTTAGTGACTAAGAAAGTCCTAAAAACTTCAACAAATTGTTCATTCAAGTTCTTGTCCCCCATTTTCCATTTTTTGGTGAATAGAAAACTAATTAAATGTGAGGAGTAGCTATAAAAAGTGATATATGTTAATATAATTTTATATTTAAAGAAAAGGCAGTTTCCATGTTTGTTGTTGAATGTTGATTGCATGCAATATTCTCTGTTCAAATGGTATAATTGTATGGAAAGTATCTTACTCAATCTATGTCTTTCTAGATGTTTGATCTAAAGTTCTCACATTATCAATGTACTTGTGCCTTATCTTCTTATTTTCCATGACATCAGCTGAATAAGCATTTTCTTCATTTAAAATGGTTTATGGGTTTTGAACTTGCGTTTTGGATTCCTTTTCAATGAGCATGTATTTCTGCTCTTTGGCTCTATGTAATGAAAACTGTGTGTTTGGTTGCAGGGAGCAACAATAGTAGATCAGATCGTGATTATATCTCCAGTTGAAAATTATGTACCAAAAACTGAGGTGCTGGTAAGCTTCATTTAAAAGTTTCTGCAATCTGTTTCTTTCCTGCAGCCAAAACTTTGTAGTTCATTTGTGCAATTCATGCAGGAAGTAAGGATGGTGGAAAGTGCTGTTTGTGCTGCTCCTGGTGGAATTCTTTCACCAAATGCTGAGGTAGCCATTGACACCACCACATATCTCAAGGTGTTAAGAATCTGACCTAGTTGAAGAAATTTCATATGTAGCTAATTAAGTACATTTTAGTGGATATTAGAATATTCTGGAAATGGAAAAATTGTGAGTTGGCATTTAAAAATCCCTTGGGTGGTATTATAAACCTTACATCACTATATAAGATCTTTACTACTGTGGAAATTTAATGTTGATACACAAGGGTCCTCAGGTGTGTCACTCTCTTTATTCCTTTGGTGCATTCCAGCTTCCGAATGAGCGAAAGAATACATGACTTAATCATTTGAAATGGAATGTTTTTTTTTCCAACTTACGTATCTTTCTGCCTTATAGATTATAGAATACCTATTAGCACATCCATTTACTGGATTGTGTCTGTTTCTAGTTTTTGGTCTATCTTGAATATTATGATACTTACACGCTTATTTTCCCAAGACGTCCAGTCATAACGTCCAGTCATTGCCTTATTGTTGTTTACTTCCAAAGTTTCCAATTTTATGGGCTCAGGGTAAATGTGTCTCTGTTAGCAGGATAGAAATAGCTCGCCTACCAATGGAAGGGTGTATGTTAATAGAGCACAAGATGTGGTGACCTGTATTGTCGCGAAAGGTTCAGCTATTGGACAAGATGCCGTGAACAAGGCTAAAGCATTTGATGAAAAACATCGGTTGACAGCAAGTGCATCAGAGAAGGTTATTTCCTTTGACAAGAGAGTGGGTCTCACAGAGAAATTAACAGTAGGCTTTTCCGTGGTTAATGAGAAAGTGAAGTCTGTTGATCAAAGGCTTCATGTCTCAGATAAAACAATGGCAGCAATATTTGCAGCAGAGAGAAAATTGAATGATACGGGGTCAGCTGTCAAAACAAGCAGGTATATGAGCACTTTAAAAAATATAATCTGCCAATCTATTTTGCACTTTTCTGCTGCTGTTAATTATTTCATACGTTCTGTAAGAATGATGCTGAAAGTGCAAAATGAATTATCTGCAAATAACGAGGGCAGTCGTATGCATTTTTCATTTGTTTAACTTGAAGCCTGTTTCCTTGGGCCATCCATGGACCCTGTTTCTTTGAAGTTTTTGAGGGTACTAGGCTTAGCTTATTTCAGTAGGAACTACACATTCTCTAGACATCAAAATAACTCGTAAAGGCCACTTCTATATACTGTATGTTGAGAATATAAATCTATATCGGGCATTCTATGCCTTGAATCATAATGTATAAAATCCGAACTCCATTGCCAATTGTTCTAGGTTGGATGCCACAACTTTGATGTGCATACAAATACCAGGATCTTTACCCCAAGTAGCACTCATTCTGATGTGGCTTTTGTTCCTTGGATTCTTCAGAGTTTCAATTTGTAGGTTCTTTGCTTTCTTATTTTCTTGTTCTTCACAAACTTACTATTAGTAGAGGATGGATATGTGAACTCTGTATCTATAAAAAAAAAACATTAACTTTTCGCAGCCCTCTCCCCAGAACTTATTTTATGTTTCTATGGTCTCGTATCTACCCCTCATAAAAATGAAAACCTGTAGAGAAATTTGTAAAATGACATGAAAATTGGAAGACATGATAGAGAATTTGTAGTCAGGACGAGCCACTTTAATGACCTCTCTAGAGTGATTTCATTCCAGCAGAATCATTTCTATTGATAGATGAGAATAAAACCGAGAACAATGTCTGTTGACAAACTCTTCTATGGTGTTGACAGGTATGTGACTGCTGGAGCAGCCTGGTTAAATGGTGCTTTTGGTAAGGTGGCAAAGGCGGGACAGGCTGCAGGTACGAAAACCAGAGAAAAGTTCCATATGGCTGTGTCAAACTTGACTGCAAAGGTAGGTTACGTCGCTATCAGTATTACATTATTGCTCCTATTATGTTTGTATTGTATGATTTTTTATTTCCTGGTAATCATGTGATGGCACTTTTATGTGAAAACCTAGAATTTGTATTAATACACCTTATGTTGCTGCGTTTCCACCCTTAAAAGGGCCACAAAGCTATCCCATCTTTTTGTAGGTTGACTTTAAGAATTAAGTTCCCCTGTTTATCTGTTGTAAATCTGGTTAAATTTTGCTAGAAACTTCAGAGAGTTATCATTTAGAATGAAAAGATGATTAAGCAATTAAAATATGACTAATTAGTAGAAATATTCTGAGGTGCACTATAATTATTTTAGGTAAATGTATTATAATCTGAATCCAGAAGCGAAGTGATTTTATGCTTTGTTATCTTGTAATTATGCCTTTCTCCTGATATGCAGGAACCTCCAATTGCTGCATAAGCCAAAGGATTTGAGGTGGCAGAAACTAACCTCGACGCGCATTCTTTCATGAACACATTCGACAACCATGTTGCTCTAGTGATCAATTTGAGGACAGATGTCCCCCAAAACAGATTGCAGGTTTGGTATGGATTGGGATGAATCATGCAAGCTCCCTTTATGATTCACTCTGTATGGTTTGATGTGTGCACTCAAGTTTTGCATTCATTTTTATTTTTCTTTATATCAATTCAGTTCATAGGGTATTGAGCCTGTGGCTTCATTTGTAATTTTTCTGTAAGTTTGTTGAGTGAAAGAACTTATATGTTACATATGTAAAAAGAACAGAAAAGGCAATTGGATTGAGAAGAAAGAAGTCAGAATCGTGAGGACATGTTGCTTTCTGTTTTTGCGAAGGACGTATTTTCTGTTTATTTACTACTTGATATTGTGATTTCTTTTTTAATTTTGACAATTTTATATGATTTCTATCACGCTATAGTTTGCTTTTGGGTAAACCAACCAATAAATATATATATTATATATGTAACCAGATGCCAAGGCCATTGAATGGTTTAGGGGAATTGATCATCAATAAGGGGAATTACTTAGAATTGATGTGCTAATTGATTGGGTAGAATTGGTTAAGGTGAAATCAGATGCTCTAGTGTCTCTCTTGGTTTTCCTAAACCTCGTGTTGTGCGACTTTGTCTTTCGTTTTAATTGCTTTATTTAATTTTAGTTTTCTCAATTACAAATTCAAATCAATTTCATCCATTAAAGTTTCTCAATTTAAAATTAGTTTCAGTTTAATTGATAGGAATATTAAGAATGTAATCAATCCTTGTGGTGCTTACTTAGCTATATCACTTTTGATTCGTATATGTGCGAGTATTAAAATTTGATTAAGTTGGTAAAACTTGAGTGGGGCTCACAGAGAAATTAATGTTGACATGTATCTTATGTTGGCGAGAAATTTGGACATTTGGTCTCAAGGCAAAATTAACAGGTACTTTGCCCTCACATTTCTGTAGATCTTGACTTAAGAAAGAATGAGCAGAAACTTGGCTCCACAATCCCGAACCCGAACATTCTTTCTTTCTTTTTTGTACTAGTATCTTATAAAAGTATATCTTCTAATTAGGAATATTTACTTTCCTTTTTCTTTCCACTACTAATAACATTTAGGTCTTTTGAATTAAAACAGAATTATGTGGTGATAAAATAAAATAAAAATGACAACCAAAGTGATACCTTTTTTAATTAATTAATTAATTAATTTAATAAATGGAATTCATTCATAAAATCAAGATAGCATACATAAAACGACACGAAACAGTAGCCTCGTTAAAACCTTCATGAGGGACAAGCCTTAGGTTAGGAAAGTCTACCACACATATCATGGACTAACAAGAGAGTATGAAACAATCACGTAGAACCAAAGCTAGAACAAGAAAAGAAAAACAATAGATTGACACATAGACCTCCGATGAGAACACTATAACACAACCTAACTATCAAAAGAGTCATGCTATGAAATCATAGTCCTTTGCACAGCCATAAGATAGTGAGAGCATCCGACAGAGAACACACCAATACCCCAGGAAAAGGGAAACAGCCACTAAGTACCCCATCTCCAGTCACCTCCAAGAGTAATGACGATGAAAGGAGAACAAGACATAAGGAACAACACAAAGACGAGACCAACTCCACAAACAAGCCAGGAAAGTTAAATTAAATAACAAGGTCCCCCCAAGCATGTCGTATCATGTCAATAGTGTCAAAGAAAGCTCCTATGAAATTATAGTTCTTGAAATAGGCAGAGAATCAAATGTTAGCGAAGGGGAGAATAGAAGAAGACACCATGCAACAATAAAAAAAGGCTTAATTATGTACATGCCCTCTGTGCTTTCAAACTTTTCTCAAGTTACCACCTGTGTTTTCAAACGTCTCAAAATACCCCCCAACGTTTAAAAAACCGTCTCAACTTACCCGTTTCGTTACGAAGGTTACTGTTCATCCCTCTCCCAATTCCAGAACAGCAGCCCCTCCCCTTTGTTACTGTTCATAGCTTATTTACCCTCCAAAACTCAAAAATTTCTCCTAACCAACACAACTAGCAGCAAGAACAACTTGAGAGGTTGAAAAACCATACTTGGATCGAAGCAAATGGTGCTCGGAATCGCTCGAACGAGCGATGGAGATTTTGGGTAAAAATCGGCCAATTTCTTGCTTTTTCCTGCGATCTAGATGGCGGTTGGCAGCGGCTGAGATGTGAGGCTAGTAGAGGACAACGTGCTGGTTCTTTTGATACCCATGTCGTCACTTGGGGTGGCTGGAGGAGGAGATGACAGCCCAAAAACTGGTCGGATGAACAGTAACAAAGGGGAGGGGCTACTGTTCTGGAATTTTAGGGGGGATGAACAGTAACTTTCGTAACGGAACGTCAAAAAAACTGACGAAAGGGGTAACGTGAGACGGTTTTTAAAAGGTTGGGGAGTACTTTGAGCCATTTGCAAACACAGGTGGTAATCTGAGAAAAATTTGAAAGCACAGAGGGCATGTACATAATTAAGCCTAAAACTGGCCTCAGCCACTTAATCCTGAACACGGGGATCAGACTCAAGAGCATTCGCCGGATGCCAAGCCTAGGAATGCCCACATAACACACATTAAGGAAGGCGTCCAGGAGACTTCACAGGACCAGTCTCCATAGGTTTGTCAATAGGGACAACAAGGCACAAAGGCTTGGAAGCAATGAAATCTACCACAGAAACCCAGATATCTCCAGCTAAAATGGGTGCAACTGGAGTTTTACACTTAGCATGAGTCTTGATGAAGATTCAACGAGAGCCTTCCCCTTTCTTGGGTTTGCCGCAATCCCCTTTTAGTGAATGACTGGCAGAGAACTAGATGATGGGCATAAGATTAAAGGGATCAGAGGTTGCCGAACCTTTGGGGGGCTAGGGGAGGTGCCTAAGAGATGGGATCATTTAACACTGGAACTACTAGAGCCACAGAGATGTCTGGCTCATTCAGGGAAACTGGCAGAGAACGCGTCACAGCATCTAAACTATCAGATTCACGTCGAAGAGAGGCGATTGCGTCAAGCAATGTATGGCGGAGAGGTAGGGCCTGCTGCGCGCGGGGTGGGGGGTGAGGGGGGGGAGGAGGCAATAGGGTCGTCTACCTCGGTCCGTTCATGAGAAGACCACCACCAAGACCGAGTGCCAAAACTACTACGATCGCTCTAACCATCATTTATCCATAAACCAACTTGTTAAGGAGAATGAACTGGAGTGTTATGTGAGGGTGAAGGAGTCAATGTAAGGTGTGTGGAAGAACCTATAGAATTGCCCCGCAAGTTGGTACCTCCTTCTAGATCAACAAAAGCAGAGGAAAATTGTGCCAACAAAGATAGAGTGAGAGAACCCTGAGAAAGCTCATACTTATCAATACACACCAAAGTAGGATGACCAATTTTTCCACACGCAAAACAATTTTTAGAGAGATACTTATACTTAAAACCCACAATTCACTCGCCCACCTTAGGAAATGTAACATGTGTTCGACGGATAAGACGTTGGGTGACATCAAACCTTAAACAAATCCGAATAAAATGCCCTACACAATAAGTACCATCACGATTATCCACCCAAAGAACTTCTCCAAGAATAGCCCCAATTGCTTTAGCAACAATGATAGTCATGCAGAAGGTAGGAACAACATGGAGTTGAACCCAAAAGGTACCAAGAGTTAAGAGCAACAAGTCCATATTCCCATGATCCAGGATATCAGCCAACAAAATCAATAAGCGCCGAAAAGCCTAGGGCTCCATATCAAGAACCCTCTTCTTATCGCGATCACAAACAAAACACACCCAAAACCTGTTGAAACTAATGTCCTTAATAGAGACATCAACAGAGCCTTTCCAAAGTTACATAAAGGTTTTAATAAAGCCATCACGATTGACGGGCTGGTCTATAAGGACCCGAGCCACAAGACCATAGATAAAACCAACAAAAGTGTCTGCAATGTTAGAAGAACCAATAACCAAACTAGCCTATTCACCTAGCGTGAGTACCAAGTGGCTACCAAAGGATTACTCAATATCTGCCACATACGTAGACATACCAAAATAATAGACAAACCACCAAACATCAAGAAAGGGAAAAGACAAGAGCAAACAAATGAGTTCCCGAAGAATGGGAAAGATTACCACGATGACGGACTGAGACAGTGGTGCACAGTTCTGATGTCGACAGTGCAGACGTGATTGGGCAAAGAGGATGGGGGAAATGAGATGTGCACGATGATCGTAGAGAGAGGGAACTAGAATGATGAGGATGGTGGAAGGTGATTGAGCGACTGAAGATGATGGGCCAATAGAAGGAAGGCGAGCACGACTGAGCGCGAGGAGATGACCTCGCGAGAGAGAAGAAGTGACGTGAACTGAACGTGGTTGGATGACAAATGGAACACGAGATGAAACTCTAGAGAGGACGCAAGGCTCTCCTTGTGTAATGAGAGAGTAACCCTATTCGACCTTGTACTTGCATATCTCTATACTACTGTTGATTTGTGCACTGGTAGTAATTTAATTTGTGATTTTTTAATACTCTTTTCTTGGTGTTCAAAAGTCTACATCAAGAAAAGAATATTTAAAAATTTGGAAAAATATTGAAAAACTTGATGTAGATTTTCTAACACAGGGAAAAGAATATTAAAAAATCACAAATTAAATTGCTCGCAAGGGCATGAATCAACAATAGTATAGAGATATGCAAGTACGAAGTCAAACCAACAAGGATTGATTAAACAAGTTAATCAATTAAATTGCACTAAATCTAATTAAACAAATGATTGATTGATTGATTGATTGATTGAACTAAAGTTGACAAAAACTTAAAAACCAAAACAAATAAAACACATGATATTTAAAGGGATTGAAAACCAATTTATAAAAGCACTAGGACATCGAATTTACCACTAATAATGCAATCTGGCCTCTTAATTACCTATCTGTTAATTTATTCAATTGATGTTGTTGCATGAATTACCTATGGTATTTAGGCTAACTCGTATATTCCTACATGTAATTTGTCTATGGTATTTAGTACAAATATGAACACATAGAAACTCTTTTGAGCTTTGTGAAAACCTTTGATAATCATGTAAATCCTAAGAGCATGATATTTATTGTTTGTCACTCGAAGGTATTGTTTTAAATTTGTAAAACTCGCAAGTGCATGAATCGATTGTAGAATAGGCGTGTGTAAGTGCGAGGTCGTACCCACAGGGAGTGCATGAAAAAAATGGAAAACTAATCCAACCCAACTTAATTCAATTGCTAACCTAGTTGATTCAAAATTTGATTTGTTTGTTGGAAAAGAAAATGAAATAAAGCGTAGAATTGAAAATGCAAATAATCTAAAATAAGGTTTAAATGAATTAGAAAAATAACTGTATGGGCTTTTTTGTTCCGGCAGCTACTGATGAGCTTGGGCTGCTGTAAAGAGCCAAATGTGTGAAATTGCCCTTGAGTATGAGTTCAAGAATCAGACCCCAAGAGTGCTTCGAAAGGATAGTTGAGCCTTAGGAAACACCTTGGGCTTCTTCACCAATGAAACCAATAGTTGCTTACAGATAAATTCTTGGCTTGGCTTGAGAGGTTTGTGGCATGGAAGCTAAGCATTCATGAGTTTAGCATGAGATAGAGAAAGACTAGATTTTCTACAAGAAGCAGAGGTTTAAAGCAAAGGATTTTGTGAGAATTTGCTGAGGAGAAAGAAAGATAGAGGTTAGAGTGGAATAATGGATGCTTTGGGTAATTTTCCGGTAGCTTGACAAAGGGTTTGTCAGGCTTTGGAATGGCTTGCCGGAGGAGAGGATGGGGATAGATGGAGGAATAGGGCTCGAAATTGGACCGTCCAGCAATGAGTAAGGATGTTGCTTGCTTTGGATTGGTCTGCCAGAGGAGAAAAAGGAAAGAGATGGGAGAATAGAGCTGCAAAATTGGAGGGTTCTAGTAGTGAGAGAGGATGCTTGCTCTCCCTGGATCTCCCCGAATGTCATGATCTGCTGGGTAGGAAATGCCCCTTTTTATAGGCGCTGGAACACTCAATTTTATCAAGACACCCTCTCCCCTTTTCCTTCACTTTCTTCCATTCCATCTTATTGGTGAAACTTTCTTGGCCTGAGCATGTAGGCACGATGCTTTTTGGAGTTCCAAGACCTTCACGCAGCTGGACTTCTCCATGTGGGTGAGGCGCCACTTACTTTTCCTTCTTGTTTTCTCACCAAAGCTTGCAGAGGAAAGAATGGGTAAGGGTGTTGGTCAAAATGTGATTTACTTCCAACAACCTGTGCATATGGGTTTGCCTTGGTTTTGATAAGGTGCTAGATATTTTGACTGATGTGGGATATTTCCAAGTGTTGTGGGCTATGGCTATTGGATATTTCCTAAGATGTTTGGGCTTTTTCTTGAGGAGACGGGGTATTGGGTTTTCTCTCATACTTACCCATATGTTTGGGCTCAAGGAATTGGCTTGAGTTTTGGTGCTCCAAAGTAGCCCAAAACTTCCACTCCTTGGACCATCAATGAGCCTCATGAATACTCGTAACCATCCATACTACAACATGCTTAACAAGCCCTAGGCATTTACCGTGGCTTGGGCCCACTTAAGCTTGTAGCATGGCGTGTTGCTTATTTGCTTGGCGTGGCACATGTGCAAGCGCATATGACTAACTCTTATGTGCCCAAGTCAGGTTTCTTCCTTAGTTAGGTGTCGTACTGGGCTAGAAATAGATTTGGGCCCAACCTTGGATTTTTTTGGGCCTCGACCATAACTAAAGTTTTAGATTCCACACCATTATTCTATAAAACCTTAATTAATTATCTAACAATTCCCATGGAGTAGCAATCTAGAAATCAATCTACTGCTTTCTCAAGATATATCAATTAAGCATGCATTTTAATGAATCTTATGTAAATTCCCCTTCCCTTGATAATTACAAATTCTAAGCATCATATGTGAAAAAGATTGTTTAACTACAAAAGATCAAAGATATTTGGATATTAGTAATACAAAACCAAGGATGCATTAATAGCTTACTCCTCACTAGACCGGGAACCCACATTTTATTTTTTACTCCGCCAAGTGACAAGGTTACCTCCAACGAATGTAAAGTAACTTGATGTAGACTGTATATTTGTAATGTAACCAGCCCAGTTAGCATCTGTATATCCAACAGCCACAAGATTTCCATTCTTAGAGAACATTAGTCCATTTCCAGGGGCTGACTTTAAGTATCTTAAGATCCGATCAATTGCATTCCTATGAGAAACACTGGGACAATGCATAAACTGACTAACCACACTCACATCGTATGCAATATCTGGTATTGTGTGTGCAAAATATATCTACCTTCCAACAAGGCGCTGGTATTGTTCCTTATTGGTAGGCACCCAGTCCATATCTTCACACAGCTTGTGATTCATCTCAATAGGTGTGTTAACAAGCTTACATCTAAGCATTCCTGTTATAGTGAGTACATTTATCACATACTTCCTTTGAGACAGAAATATACCAATCATTGACCTTGTTACTTCAATTACGAGGAAGTATTTTCGAGCACCTAAATCCGTCATCTCAAATTCCCAAGACAAATACTTTTGTAATTTCTGTTATTCTCTAGTGTCGTTCCTAGTTACGACCATGTCACCCACATACGCAATTAATGCAGTGATTTTTCCGCCATCACGCTTTAAGTACAGGGTATGGTTTGAATTACTTTGAGTGTATCCAAAAAATTTCATGGACTTAGTAAATCTGCCAAACCATGCCCTAGGAGACTGTTTAAACCCATATAATGATTTTCTGAGCTTACAAACCTGATTTTTCTTGTTAAGAGTTGCATTATGTCCTGGTGGTAAATCCATGTAGTCCTCTTCCTCCAAGTCTCCATGTAAGAAGGCATTTTTAACATTGAACTGATGCAGTTACCAATCTAGATTTGCTGCTAGAGACAATAGGACCCTGATAGTGTTGATCTTGGCTACTAGGGCAAAGGTCTCCTGGTAGCCCACCCATATATCTGTGTGTACCCCTTCGCTGCTAGTTTAGCTTTGTATCTTTCAATGGATCCATTTGCTTTGAGTTTCAAAGTATAGATCCACCTGCATCCTACCGTCTTTTTTTCATGAGGTAAAGGCATGAGCTCCCATGTGGCATTCTTCTGGAGTGCTCGCATTTCTTCATTCATGGCTTCTTTCCATTTTGAGTCTTCTATTGCTTCAGTCACACTATTGGGGACAGATATATCGGCTAACTGCTTCACAAAGTATACATGTGATTCGGACAATCTGCTTAGAGATATATAATTATAGATTGGGTATCTGCTTCGTACTGTAATCGAGGTTTACCATTGTTCTTCCTTTCTGGAAGCTGATATGTTGGCTATGTGCCTTTTGAAATCAAATCATCATAGTATATTTCATTAGTATTATCATCATGGTACTAGAGCTGTAGGCAAGTCCGCAGGCAAAATCTCATAACACAGTTTAGTTTCCTCCTTCTGATTTTGGCAGCATGGATTCAACCGGTCGGTGGGAAAGAGCGACCGGTTGTTTTGACACAATGGCTCTGCTTGTGAAGAAAGACTGGGGGCCGACTAGGCGCTTAGAGGAGTCAACAAGTCGTTTTGAAACAGAGGCTCTGCTCGTGAAGGAATAAAGGGCTCGACCAGTCGCTTTGAGGCAGAAACTCTTCATGTTGAAAAAATTCAAGAATCTTTGGAGGGTTTGGGTCTAAATTCTCCTCATGTGCTGTTGAAAAATATATATCGTGTTCCCATAACACAACATCCATGGAGGTATATATCTTTTAACTTGGAGGTTGATAACAATGATAGCCTTTCTGATGAGGAACATAGCCAATGAAAACACACTTTTCTACTCAGGGATCATGTAAGTGTACAAATACAACACAACCAAAAATCCGTGGTTCAAGGTTTGGGGTGGGAGGTATTTGGAAATGGTGGTGAAGTGTTTGAAGATGAGTTTGGAAATTCAAGATACTTGAGGGAATCCTATTTATAAGGTAAGCTGAAGAGAGGACGGCCTCACCCTAAAAAAATCGAGGCATGTTGGCACCAAATAAAGATGCATGAATGACTTCCATTTTGTTGGGGTGTATATGGACATGAGCGTTGATGTATGATATCATAATCCTGTAAGAACTTGTTAAGATCTTGGTTAAGAAATTCTTCGCCATTATCAGAGCGGGGAACTTGGATTCAGGCCTAAAACTGTGTTTCCACCATTTATGGAACTGTTGAAACTTTAAACCGAGTTCCTTTTTAGTTTTGAGAAGGGAAACCCAAGTCATGCATGTGCAATTGTCTATAAACGTGACAAACCGTTAAGCTCCTGCTAGAGTGGCAATTTTAGCAAGTCCCCAAAGATCAGAATGGACAAGAGAAAACGAAACCAAACTCTTATTTAAACTTAATGGGAACGGGACACGTGTCTCTTAGCCAATTCACACGTATCACATTGGAAGCTGGAAACAATTTCTTCATATAACCAAACAAGGCATGCCCAAGATGTTTATGCCATAACCGAACTTTGTATCTCTCTCTCTCTCTCTCTCTCTCTCCCCCCCCCCCCCCCCCCCCCCCCCCCCCCCCCCCCCCCAAAAAAACACAAAAAACAACTTCAATTCAATTTAATTTCTTGAATAAAATTCATGCCATAATCGAACAAGGCATGCCCAAGCATTCTGGGGGTATGCTGGTGAAATCTAATTTTACATTTTTCCAAAGAGGAAGACAAAAACTTATGACTTCTTTAAATTTTGAGAAGAATGAATCTAAATGATCACTACTTTCAATATAAAGTTGACCTAAATAACCATATTCTGCTAAAAATGCTGGAGTAACTGTGATTGTTTTTGGTTTATGCTCTAAATGCAGTTCTCTATATTCAACCATGTTAATACTAGCTAAGTGAATAGTATAATAAGAACAGCTTTTGGTAATAATTTTGATACCAGGGTGTGGATTATTTTTTAAATTGAAAAGAAAAGCTTGGATATATATTTGAAGAGATATATTTTGCTCATACTCTAATCTAATTAAATGACTCTTAACATCTAGCGGTAAAAAATTGTATCTTTCTCTAGCTAGAGTTTGAAGAAAATAAGGATTTTTAGTTTTTTTTCTCAAGTGAAAATTCACTATTATGCTCAAGCAAGGTGGGCTCATTAGCCTCTTTTTCTTGTAGAATTTGACATCTTAAATTAAGGACTCTAAAATTCTTTACTATTGCATCATATTCCTTCTTTTGCTCTTCATGTTTTTCCTGCAAAAAAGAAAGTTGTTGTTTTGCTCTTTTATAATCATAATTATATGCTAAAAACTCTTGCTCAAGGGCTCTAATAAGTTTTTCATGCCCTCTTCTCATGCTTTCAGTATTAGTTCTAATATTCCAGAAGTTGTCTAAAAGAACATTTTGTTTATCTGCTAATGATGCTTGAGTACGATATTTTAAAGAAGGATTTCTAACTTCTTGTATGGAAATTCCATTATAAAAATAAGTATTTACTACTGAGCGTGCTTGACTATTTATGCTTAATGGATTACCACCTTGTGATGGTGTACCACTATTTTTGCTACCAGATGATGATGGTCCAAAGTATTGCATACCTATTAGTGAATAATACGGGATAAGATATCTGCTAAAGTATTATCCACACCTTTAATATGCTCAAATATCGGTCTAAATCCATTTCCTGTAATAGAATCAACAAAATTGACCCATTTTCGGGCTGCTTGTTTATTAGTAGTAATTTTATTATAATGTGAAACAATATTTTGACAATCTGTTCTAATAGTAAATATTTCATTATGTAAAAACAATGGAAATGCTTTAAGGGAGTTAATTACTCCTAATATTTCCAAGTCAGTAGCTAGAAGTCTAGCCTGTATATCATTAGATTTCCCTGATGCATATTTACAAACTTTTTCTTCAGATTTTGGTTCTTCCCTACGTTTCTTTTGATATAAAATTCATGCCCATCCTATTGATGATGCATCTGTCTCAACTATTTTGTAATTATTATCTAATGTTAATGCTAAAGGTTTAAGTTGAGTAATGTCTTGTTTGATGCTTTGAACTAATTTAATGTCTTCACTATTAAAATATTTTTGACCCGTTTTACTAGTTTTACTATGTAATGCTGCAATTTTTCTTCCTAAATCAAGGATAAAACTTCTAGCATAATTTAATAACCTAAGAATGCTTGTAATTGTTTCTTATCCTCTAGTTTATCTAGAAACTCTAACACTTTTTTAGCTATGTGCTCTTGTAATTGTATAGTTCCTGACCTAATATACATACCTAAGAATTCTATATCTTGTTTTTCAAGCTCTATATTCCTACTTATAATTATACCATTATCAATAAATTCTTTTAAAATAATTTCTAAGTGTTTTCTATGTTCATTTTTGTTTTTACTATGAACTAATATATCAGCTACATATACACTACAAAAATTATCATACTTCTTAAAGATTTGGTCCATCTTTCTTTGAAAGATCGATGTGCATTCTTTAATCTAAATGGCATTACAAGCCATTGAAAATGTCCTTCTGGACAAGTAAATGTTGTCCATTGTATTGATTCTTCTGCTAATCTAATTTGCCAAAATCCTGATTTACAATCAAACTTACTAAAATATTTACTTTCTTGGATTTTATTCATAAGTTCATCTTTATTTGGTTGTTTATAACTATCTTCATAAGTATTATCATTTAATCTCCTGTAATTATACACTATTCTAGCTTTACCTCTCTTAAGTTCTGAATGTTTTCTAACTACGAAGGCTGCTGATCTATGCTTAGATTTTGAAGGTCTAATGACTTTTAAATTTAAAAGTTCTTTTATCTGCTGTTCAAATTCTTGCTTATCTAATAAGTTACGAGGCATATCTGCTGTTTTAATTGTTAAGTCTGGATTAATAATGTCTAATTTTGCTACTATTTTATTCTTATTCCAATGTAATTGGGGATCTTCTCCTATAATTCTAGTTTGTTCAGCTAATTGTAACAATTCTTCTAAATTTTTTGGTCCATCTATTTGCATAATTTTTAAAGGTTCTACGTTTCCTATAATTGGATACTCATGATCAAATATTATATCATCATATTCTAGATTATTTTGTTCATCTATCTTTTCTTCACTTATTTCTTCTAATTCTTCCATATTATATTTAAAATTTTGTTCTTCTATGTTAATACTATTACAAGATTGTAATATATTACTTTGATATGTTGTGGTTATTCCTTTATGAAAAAATGTAATGTCTGGAGGTGTATATAAAAATCCTACTTGTAAACTTTTTAAGAAATTTAATCCTAAGATAAAGGGATATGATCCTACTGGGGATATAAAGGTTAAGGGTAAATTAAATTGTTGTCTTTCTATCCTAATTGGTATATTATTAATGCAGTGTGTTAAGTATACAGGTCTTGTATCAAACTGTATAATTCTTACTGGTCTAGCTAGTTTTTGCCTAAATTGTTATGGTACTAATTCTTCTTTTATTACATTTTTTGTGCTTCCTGTATCTATCATGGCTGTTGTTTGAATTTTATTTTCTTTTGACAATTCTAACTCACAATTAATTGTTATTAATGAACTAGTCTTTTGTTTCTCTATACTAGGGCACAATTATTCTTTTGATTATTGTTATCTATTTCAACTGTATTTATTTCTATTGGTCTATTATTGAAACAAGGTTTACAATAAACTATTGTCTTAGTGTAATATTTTTCGACCACTATTTTCTTACATTGATTACATTCTTGAGGCCATCCTAAATTAACATATTTAAATTCTTCATGCTCTTTTCTTACTTATAATTCTTCATGCTCTTTTTCTAATTTGTCTTTTTGCTTTTATTTGACTACATTCTGATCGTAATATATCATATACATGTTGTATTCTTGCTCCTATGGATACATCTAGTTTTGTAGGGTGTTTTTGCCATTCATTACAAATTCTTTCTCCTATTGATCCTTTAATTTTTGTCATATAAGTATCAAACAAATTAAGATTATCAATTCTACCTGTTCTACCTAAATACTTAAAAAAGTCTTAAGTATATTCACTAATATATTGTAAATCACAAATTTGTAGTTGTTCTAAATTTCTTATGGCTCTAATTTGTTCTTGTTCATTTCTACCATCTAATCTATTATGATCTAAAAATTCGTATTTGATTAATTTAACAAAAGCATCTATATTAAACATTTCTTTTGCTGCTTGATGTTCTCTTGGATTTTTAGTTTTCCATGCTTGGAAATAATAAAAAACCATTCCATCTAAAGTATGTTCAAAGTAATCTAACATATCTTTATTATTATTAAAATCTAACATTAATGCTACATGTACACATCCCTTTTCCCATCTTTCTATAGTTTTTTCCCGATCCTGTGGGTCTACATGATCTAAATTTAATATATACAAATTTATAAATAAACCCAATTCTAGACATGTATTTATAAAAAAACCCAAGCACTATTTAAATATAGAAACACACCCAAAATCAACCTCAAAATCAACAATTGTATATTTTTGGGTGTGTTTATAAATGGATTTTGAGTGTGTGTAATGATGGTTTTTGGGTGTGTTTATAAAGTGTTTTGGGTGTTGGGTTTTTTTATAATTTCAGCCCCCATTTTGGGTATTTTAGTTAAACTCCCTTTAATATATTTCCTGCTAAACTAATTTGTTCAATTGGAATTCTATTTTTTCTTATTCCAAATGTTTCTTGTTGAAAAGCACTTCTAAAAGATTATTCATTATTTTCTCTATATTGTTCATTGGTTTGCCTAAGATTTTGCTAGCCTATTCTACTTGCAGGGGCTACAAATGGTCCAGTTGAACTATACTGATCTTCTACTAACATGCATTCTACTTCAATTAACATATTTTGATATTCCTTTTCTCCTAAAATATGTTCTAATCCTATATTTAAAATTAAATATTTCATTTCTTTACCTGATAATCTATGTAATCCTAAATCATAAGTTTTATATTTTTCTATATATTCTTCTTCATCTATGAGTTTGTCAACTATATTATCAAAATTATGCTCAATCATATTTATTTCTAAGTTATCAAATGCCATGTGTATTTCTTCTTCTAATTCACTTTCTAAGTCTTCTATATCATTTATTTGTTTATAATTAGTAAATCTTACTACAGCTTCACCTATATGATTTTCAAAAATTTGTGCTTTATCAAGTTGTTTATTTTTTGTTACTTGTAGGTTGGGTAAAATCCATTATGTTCCTTCTAAAAAACTATTATCTACTGGTTTTGCCTCTATCATATTAATATGTTTACTACCAAAAGTTTGTACTAAATTTTGAAATTCTACATTAAATTTGTAATTATAACTATCTGGAATTTTTCCTACATACATAAGACTGATGCTTAAATTTATGTACTCACCTTTCATATTATAATTTTTTGTTCTTATGCTAATTTTAATATGTTTACTAAATTCTCTAATATTCATGACATAATTAGGAATACATCCTATGACTGCTAAGTTTGTGCTAAGATCTACTTCTGCTGTAGCTATAGCTACTTGTTGATGGTTATCCCATCTGTCATCATATATGTATACTAGTGCTTTAGTTCCTACTTGTGCTCTAATGAGTCCAGCTATTCCTATCATAATTGTTCCTATATGAATTTGTTGATAGTGTGATTTTTTAAGGTGTTCTATTGTTATGTTACTAACTAAATTAAGAGTTACACTATGCCAAATTTCCCTTTCCGCAACACATAGGCATCGGTGAATTGGAAAACCGATGCTATTAGTAATTTAGGCATCGATTTTATAATTAATAAGACTAAAAGGGTATAAAGATATCATCACAAATTTTCGGCGTTACCTACCGATGTCGTTGATTATACTTTAGCATCGATGGTAAAATTTACTGATGCGCAAAATGTTTTTCAAGAATTTTATTTTAAGCCTAACAATTAACAACCGACGCCAAAAGCAAGTTAACCCCGCTACAGTGATTTTTTTAAAACAAAACAATTGATCTCCTTCTAGCATCCCTATCTTTCTCTCTCGCGACTCTCATCCCTCTCTCTTCTCTCTCGCGATCTCAGCCCTCTCTTTCTCTCTCACGACTCTCATCGCTCAATCTCTGCCGACATCCTATATGTCCTCCATCCATCTTTGCCACCATATTCTCTTTCCTCCATCTTTATCGATATCTCCTAAACCCTAAAAATTAGAACCAACAAAACCAAAATCAATGAGAGCAAGCACGCACATGCTTAGTTCAATCAACACACTCAGACGGAATCACCTCTAAGCCGCTCAGTTCAACCCACACACGCTCACTCAGACAGAATCACCGAAAGCAGGTGATTTCATCAATCAATCAAAGCCCCAAATTTGGGTAATTTGTTGTAAGTGTAATTTTTCAGTTTAGGGTTTGATTATTTTTCATCTCAGATCGATTATTTTTCATAGATGTTGTTGCATGTTGTAATTTTAAGCTTATTTTTTAGTTTATTAATTCTGGAGTAGTACGTGCTTGAATTGGGTTTGGCTGAGTTTTTTCTGCAGAGGTATCCGAGGGAGGCTTCTGGTCCAATGAGAGAGAGAGTGTTTGGGTTGATTGGGAAGAGGAACTTGCCCAGGTGGATTAAAGCAGCTAGCTTGCAGAACCTGGTATCTCCTTTTGATGATATGGATAAGTTGCAGAGGAACGACCAAGAGCCACCTGTGAAGTAAGTTCAATGGTCTTTTTTCTTTTCTTATTTCAATTATCTTTCCTTAGTTCCTATGCAAAAAATATTTTATTGTGCTGGTACTGTAACTGACCGAGCAACTAGCTAGGCTAGATCGTCCACGTGCCATGCTTTGAGAGGTCATCACCTTAACCAAAGAAGCATTACTACAAGTCACAACTTTAAGAAAAGCAAGATGAGTCCCACATTGGAAAACTACAAGAAGTGAAGACTCCCCCTCACCTATAAGAGGAGACCACTCTCCACTTAAGAGGGGATCCCCTAGGCTGGGCTTTATCCTTAATCATGGGCTTCTCCCTTCTTATCTTTATATTTGGGTCCAAGCCCATGTACAAATGTAAACATACATTATTATAATGAGAACATACTTCTCTGTGGACGTATTCATTAAAGATGAACCACGTATATCTTGTCTTCTTTATATTTATCGCTTGCCCAAATCTTCACACACATGCTGAAGGTTCTCACCTTCACCCATCATTCACCATTCCACTTCTATAAAAGTTGACTCAACATCAACAATTTGGCGCCGTATATGGGAATTGACACAAAAGGCTTCTGTCGTTCTCCTATTCTCCAGTGCCCTTCGGCACCCATACAATCAACATCACCTAAGTTGTCGTTCGGCAATACCTTACTGAAGCAACCACGAATGCTAAGGCAACAAATTATAGAAAATGATATGTTAAGGAAAAGCCAATCAGAATGTGGCTATCATTTTGCATGGCTTGCATAGCCAAATCAACATCTCAATTCAAAGTGTCGTTTGGCACTTCTTGGAAGAGTAAAAATATGGGGACTTTCTACAAGCTTCATCATTCGGCACCCCTCCATCATTCAGAGCGAGCGATGCCTTCAGCACTTCACCTCTCTTACGCATGTGATGCCTTGGGCACCACATCATCGTTCGGCGCTTGCCATTGGTAAGATGAAGGCAGCCAGTTCCTACAACTACCGTTCGGTACCTGGTGAATATTGGAGAGAGAGTCACACATGGTGATGCCTTCTCTTGAACATCACTCTTCAAAGAGATAAGTGGAATATCCTTGTCTTTTTCCATTTCATTATTCTATTGGAAAATGCATGTCTAATTGATTAACACTGAGCAAGTAAAAGACTTATTTGTGGCCCAGGTGCTATTGAGCAATATTGCCTAATTGTCATCAACTTTAATCAAAAGCACCTGTGCTTGTAAGGGAGATGGCATTATTATATTGCACAGTTAAATGACGACACACAACAGACCCACCATGTCTCAATCAATTGCTCAAGATATGCATCATGTCCAAGTCAAGACAACAGAGGCCACCTCTAATTACATGTATGAGGCATCTATCTATGGTGCCGTGAGACTCCCATGCCTTGATGAATGCCAATCCCAAGTTTTCTCGTCAAAAATCCATGCAGCACCCAACTACTGAATTTATCAAGACACCCACTTTGTCAAAAGTCTTACAGAAGACCCAATTAGAGCCCCATACCATTGCTGCGCTGCCCGGCTCAAAATCACAACAAAAACACGCACCAGACACCCCGATCGGCACTATGGTGAAGGAACAAACCCTACCAAAGCTGCGAAAATGAGGCCTCAAATACAAAAAATCTACTCAATCCACCCTTGCCAAACGACAAAGGTTGAACAGACAAAGGAGGGCTTCAAAAAGTACTTACCTCAACACTTGCCGAATCTGCCCTCGCAGCCCAAGCTAAAATTGATGGCCTTCTCGCAGTTCTTGCCAAACCCAGCTCTAACCGCGAGAACTCAAATTGGATTGTTGCCGAAGAGACCCGCCCTCACTTCTCACGACAAGGTGACCTCCACAAATTTCCAAAGTCACCCTTGCCGTTCGGCAAGGGCCTTGCTAGAACCAAAAAGGACCCACGGAACCTCCTTCCAAGAATCAACTCTGAACCCAGCTCCACTCTTGCCGAACCTAGCTTCACTTTGTCCCTTCATGAGCCCTCAAACAAATTATTCAGACCTTGCCAAACACAAAAGGCTTGAAGAAATTTTTCACGGCATGGGTTGAGCAGAAACGATCGGGGAGGACTCCGGAATTCTTTCAAAATTCCCCTGCCGAACGGCAGTCTGTATGCTGAAGGAACACAACTGAGTTTATTGCAATGACGATGCCCATAACCCAATGTCGGAATTCCCTTCTCCGCAATTCCTACTAATCGGCAAGCTCTACAAGAAGGACACCAAACACTTCCTGATGCTCATCCCGAACGGCAAGCCCCGAACTACAGTCTTATGCCCAGCCTCTTGCCAAAAGTCTTCTCCTTCCAGAACCTACCGAAGATTCCCAAAAACCAACTTATGGTATAGTCAAATGGGCCTTTCCGAACGGCAAGGCCCATGGAGGAAAAATGGAGGACCACGAAAACACGGGCATATTCTCAAGAATGATATATTACTAGTCCCTCTTGCCAACAAAAAGACAGGACCAAGCCACTCCCGAGCTCTTGTCGAACACTTTGTATCTCCGAAGAAAACCGGTCCCAGATATCTCTTGCCGAACGACAAGGATTGAGGTGGGAGGGGATACTCGCGAAAGTCACGCAGACCCTAGGCAATGCCCTTCAAATTCTCAAAGACCCTACCGAAGATTTATGTACTCACCTAAGGATGCCACTCTCCCGAACGGTAGGCCCGTAATGATACTCCAAGAAAGCCCAGCTCATAACCCCTTCGACTCTACTGAAGCTTTTACCGAAGCCCAAAGGCCCAGCCCCCAAAATGCCTCTTCCTCTGAAAAAAAAACAAACAAACAAAGGAAGAAGAAACCAGCCTTGCCGAACGGCAAGGTTTGTGCAGAAGGTACAGTAGGCCTCACGAAAGCTCTTGCTGAAGCCTGAGATCTTGCTGAAGCTTCGGCCCTTGCCGCATCTTCCTAAGAACAGGCCCATGTTCGGCTCTATAAGGACAAGCCCGGCCCCCCTTGCCGAAATACTTGACCTTGCCAAACCTCTAAGGAAGCCATACTGGCTCAGCTCCAATCTACTGCAGAAGGTTACTAGAGCTTACTCTAATTATTCCCCTTTTTCCATGCTGACGTCTAGCACCCAAGCGATACCTCCAAAAATCGACGCAACTTCTAGCTTTCCACTCAGCAAGGGTGTGCATGAAAGTTTTTATATAACAATTTTCGCTAATTTGGCGATAACCTGAAATTCTAAGGTTTATAAGAAATAGTCTTCTGCTCTCAAACCGTTGTAGTAAATACGGAAAATATAAGTGGCGGTCCTAAATGAAGTCTTTTAATCACTCGAAAGACAGATAAATTTGTACATATGAGGATTACAAAGAAGTTAACTAATATGAAGTTATTGTATATTTTAGTCTCAAGCACGTACTTATGAATCTCAAAACAAGAAAATATTACTCATTTATTTAGTGTGTTCTAAAGATTATTATTTCTTAATAGTTTAGTGTTCGGTGGGATCCACCGAATTACACGAAAGACTTAAATTTATAAATAAATAAAACATTACCTCTTTTGTTGTCATTTTTCTTTTATTTTATCACCACATAACTTTGTAAAAAAAAAAAAAAAAAAAAAAAAAAAACTCTCTCTCTCACACAAAAAATTGGTAAACAAGTTCGGCCACGTAGCGTTTTTGTATTTAAAAAAATACAACATCAAGATCCATTAATTCGACAACATACTGGGATTTGATTCAGGCCTTAGTTTCAATGAGATAATATTGAGAAATCTAAATTCCGATCTACCGTGGTTTCATCATGGATTTACTAAAATTCATACTTATGTACCAACAAACAACGCCGAGCTTAGAGTTATATATACTTTAATTGCAAATTGTACTCGTTTAGGTTGCCGAGTTATTTATGGCATGAAACATAATATGTCAATTTAGTTACCGTTTTGTTCAACAAATTAATCTATGAAGAAAATCCTTTCATGAATACACAATTTATTGGATTTACACTTATGTACACATGTACATGTGAAGAATAAGTTACATATAATCGTCGGTTTCGAAAGCACTGGTAACTTAGAAACTAAGTTATATTGTTTCAATAATTTAAAGCCACTAATTATATAAGGAATAAAATCGCAATCTTATTATGCCAATTTATTTACCATTATTGTTCGATACATTGATTTTTTTATATAGAAAATCCATACATGAACAATTATTTGAATCCAATGCGTTCATCATGGAGTTGCTTAAAGTCATACTTTTGTACAGCAAATAACGCCAATAATAAAATATACATACTTTGAATTTAGGACGTATCCGTTTTGGCTTGAAACCTAATATTCTAATTTAGTTACCATTCTGGTGGAACAATAAATTCACCTCTTAAAATAATATTTCTTTCATGAGTGCACAATTTATTTAACTTATCATTTTCTACATATGCATTTACAAAAAATAAGTTACATATAATCTTAGGTTTGGAGAGCACAAATAAGTCAGAAATTAAGCTATATAGCTTGAATATGCACCTAATTATGCCAGGCATTAAATCGCAATCTTATTATGATAACTTTTTTACCATAACAGTTCGATAAATTGATTTGTTTACAAAATTCATGCATGACCAATTCGTTGACTCCAAGCTCACCGAAGTGTGCAATCATAGAAAATAGTTTTCAAATTCACCTATATATATTGTATTCTTTTTAAAACCTAGTGACTCCGAATTCAAGTTTTATAGCACGTACAAACCTATAATCCTTCCTTGCTTTCAACAAATTGAATAGATATGGAGAAAGGTTCATTCAAGTCAGCTTTCCTCATTGTGCTCTTTCTTGTTTCATATGATGGTAAAATACTTCTCTCAATTTTTATTTTTGTTACGATGAAAGAGAAATTTATTCTTGACATACTATAATCCGAACATTAATCCTAACAACCTAGGCTAACCTGAAGGGCCGACTTCTTTGAACAATACAACTGCATATGGGAATTATTTTCTCCAACGTGGTTGACTTAACTTATTTTTAAAATATGTATATGTCGTTGATACATCGTTAAAATTTTACACTTTAACCTAACAATTGTCGATACTTTCAGCCATAAAGTCGAGTTTAAGTGTATATTTTTGTAACGTCAACTTATGCATAAAGCAGTATGTTCGCAATAAAGGCAAAAAACAGTTTTATTATTAATTATTGAAATATTAATTGTGGTAGGTGTGCAATTTGGAGTCGAAGCAAGAGGACCAGTTGTTCGTTATCCGTGCAACGAATCTGCTCCATGCCCCTCATTTTGCTCATGCGTCGAGAATTGGTGTAAGTGTCCGCCAGCTAAAATATTGAAGTTCATTCCTCAAGACATCTCTACACACCCGCAAGCACAGAAGGAAATGCCATAATCAGTGCTACTTGATACATCAATATATATCATATACTTTTGACGTGCACCAAAAATCTTATGTTCTCCCAATATGTTCGTTAAATGTTTGAATGGATAATAAATAACATCACCTTCTTACTTATAGTTTACTTGGTTTGAATTTCTTTTCATAATACTGTGACGATAAAGGTGTGGTACACAAGCGAACAGTGAAGTGATTCTAAATTACCGAAGACAACGAAAAAAATTCATTGAAATAGTGTAACACCTAACAATTTTCGCTAATTTGGCGATAACCTGAAATTCTAAGGTTTATAAGAAATAGTCTTCTGCTCTCAAACCGTTGTAGTAAATACGGAAAATATAAGTGGCGGTCCTAAATGACGTCTTTTAATCACTCGAAAGACAGATAAATTTGTACATATGAGGATTACAAAGAAGTTAACTAATATGAAGTTATTGTATATTTTAGTCTCAAGCACGTAGTTATGAATCTCAAAACAAGAAAATATTACTCATTTATTTAGTGTGTTCTAAAGATTATTATTTCTTACTAGTTTAGTGTTCGATCCACCGAATTACACGAAAGACTTAAATTTATAAATAAATAAAACATTACCTCTTTTGTTGTCATTTTTATTTTATTTTATCACCACATAACTTTGTTTAAAAAAAAAAAAACCACTATCTCTTTCTCATACAAAAAATTGGTAAACAAGTTCGGCCACGTAGCGTTTTTGTATTTAAAAAATACAACATCAAGATCCATTAATTCGACAACATACTGGGATTTGATTCAGGCCTTAGTTTCAATGAGATAATATTGAGAAATCTAAATTCCGATCTACCGTGGTTTCATCATGGATTTACTAAAATTCATACTTATGTACCAACAAACAACGCCGAGCTTAGAGTTATATATACTTTAATTGCAAATTGTACTCGTTTAGGTTGCCGATTTATTTATGGCATGAAACATAATATGTCAATTTAGTTACCGTTTTGTTCAACAAATTAATCTATGAAGAAAATCCTTTCAGGAATACACAATTTATTGGATTTACACTTATGTACACATGTACATGTGAAGAATAAGTTACATATAATCGTTGGTTTGGTAACTTAGAAACTAAGTTATATTGTTTCAATAATTTAAAGCCACTAATTATATAAGGAATAAAATCGCAATCTTATTATGCCAATTTATTTACCATTATTGTTCGATACATTGATTTTTTTTATATAGAAAATCCATACATGAACAATTATTTGAATCCAATGCGTTCATCATGGAGTTGCTTAAAGTCATACTTTTGTACAGCAAATAACGCCAATAATAAAATATACATACTTTGAATTTAGGACGTATTCGTTTTGGCTTGAAACCTAATATGCTAATTTAGTTACCATTCTGGTGGAACAATAAATTCACCTCTTAAAATAATATTTCTTTCATGAATGCACAATTTATTTAACTTATCATTTTCTACATATGCATTTACAAAAATAAGTTACATATAATCTTAGGTTTGGAGAGCACAAATAAGTCAGAAATTAAGCTATATAGCTTGAATATGCACCTAATTATGCCAGGCATTAAATCGCAATCTTATTATGATAACTTTTTTACCATAACAGTTCGATAAATTGATTTGTTTACAAAATTCATGCATGACCAATTCGTTGACTCCAAGCTCACCGAAGTGTGCAATCATAGAAAATAGTTTTCAAATTCACCTATATATATTGTATTCTTTTTAAAACCTAGTGACTCCGAATTCAAGTTTTATAGCACGTACAAACCTATAATCCTTCCTTGCTTTCAACAAATTGAATAGATATGGAGAAAGGTTCATTCAAGTCAGCTTTCCTCATTGTGCTCTTTCTTGTTTCATATGATGGTAAAATACTTCTCTCAATTTTTATTTTTGTTACGATGAAAGAGAAATTTATTCTTGACATACTATAATCCGAACATTAATCCTAACAACCTAGGCTAACCTGAAGGGCCGACTTCTTTGAACAATACAACTGCATATGGGAATTATTTTCTCCAACGTGGTTGACTTAACTTATTTTTAAAATATGTATATGTCGTTGATACATCGTTAAAATTATACACTTTAACCTAACAATTGTCGATATTTTCAGCCATAAAGTCGAGTTTAAGTGTATATTTTTGTAACGTCAACTTATGCATAAAGCAGTATGTTCGCAATAAAGGCAAAAAACAGTTTTATTATTAATTATTGAAATATTAATTGTGGTAGGTGTGCAATTCGGAGTCGAAGCAAGAGGACCAGTTGTTCGTTATCCGTGCAACGAATCTGCTCCATGCCCCTCATTTTGCTCATGCGTCGAGAATTGGTGTAAGTGTCCGCCAGCTAAAATATTGAAGTTCATTCCTCAAGACATCTCTACACACCCGCAAGCACAGAAGGAAATGCCATAATCAGTGCTACTTGATACATCAATATATATCATATACTTTTGACGTGCACCAAAAATCTTATGTTCTCCCAATATGTTCGTTAAATGTTTGAATGGATAATAAATAACATCACCTTCTTACTTATAGTTTACTTGGTTTGAATTTCTTTTCATAATACTGTGACGATAAAGGTGTGGTACACAAGCGAACAGTGAAGTGATTCTAAATTACCGAAGACAACGAAAAAATTCATTGAAATAGTGTAACACCTAACAATTTTCGCTAATTTGGCGATAACCTGAAATTCTAAGGTTTATAAGAAATAGTCTTCTGCTCTCAAACCGTTGTAGTAAATACGGAAAATATAA